TAATACATATATATATATATATATATATATATATATATATATATATATATATTATACAACATATATTTCAATGTACCTGAAGAACTATTTTTGGTAATCCTATAATTTGTACATCAGATTTGAAATTAATAATTTTTTCCATTAGTGCTTCATAATCTTTCAAATGAAAACTCCAATTTTTAGTTTTCATATCTAAAATATGTACCATATTTTATAAATATTATTATTTTTATTTTAAATCTTAAATTATTAACTAATAAAATTATATCAAATATATATTTTATATTACCATATAATCTGCTTGAAATTGTTTTTAATATTTCAATAAGTGGAGGAAAATATGATGAAATTTCTAATATAAATCTTGTATCACTTATCATATAACATTTTCCTGTAATAGAAGATTTTTGACCAAAAAAATTTTGGGTTGATATAGGATTAAAACGTTCTTTTTGTTTATTAACTTTTACATTATTTTTCTCAGAATTACTTCCAAATTTTGTTTTGAAATTAATATATTTTGATTGACCATGTCCCAAAATTTTTGTGTTATCATTTGACTTATTTTTAATTAAAATACTATCATTAGAAGAAATATTATTTCCTATATTTATAGAATTAAATGAACTGTTTTTTAATTGAGCTTGTTTTTTACGTTGTATAGCTAATAAACGTTTTTTTTCTATTTCTTCTTGAGAATAATTCATGCCTATAATTTTTAAAATGTTATTAAATAAGTATAATTTTTATATTATAATTATAATACAAAATTTGTATTATAATTATAATAAATTTAATTATAATAAATAATTATAATAAATATATATATACTTTTCTGTAAATCTTGTATCAATGTGATTTGAAAAGTCAATATGATTTTATAAAATATATAATAATGTATAACTTTTTCATTTTCTTCTATTTTGTAAATTAACTTAATAACTTATTTTATTGATAATTGTTTAAACGTTTCGATTTAATTTGAATGATACTATTTTACTATCTAGGGAAAAATTTCATTCTCAATCATTATATTTCCAGTAACTTCTTGATAGTTATATTTCCAGTAACTTTTGAACATATTATGATTGGTTTTAGTTTTAGTAATAAATTTGTATATAAGACAGTATATGAACAATCTTAAAAATTTAATTTTAATGCTCATAAATGATATATTGTTGCATTTTAATTTTTCCTTTATGAAATTTTGATATGATGAGAAATCAAATTTTTAAAAACATTTTTAAACATATTTCTTGTACAATTTTAACAGTTTAAATTAAATTTGTATATTTTCGAATAAAACTGTGTTAATATTTAAAACAATTCAGCTTTTTAACACTGGTATTTGTACATAATTCAAATGTTTTATAATATTTTATATATATGTATATATGATTTAAGTACATCTGTCTCTTTTTTTTCATAGTCCGAATTTATTTTCAATATATGATAGTCAAGTTCTACAATAAATATGTCAACATCAAAGTTACCAATATCTCGTATGTATTTTACAAAATTGCAATTAATGAATTCAAATAATTATTTTTTATTATATTTTAGCTGATGATCATGAATTTGTTGTTCCACAAAAATCGATTAAAACACCGGCTCATATGAAAATGTGGGAAAAATCTGAAGCATATTTTGTAAGAATTTTTATAACTTTTTTTAATTCATAAAATTATAAAATATTTTTAGGTATCTTCAAATACATGAAAAAAATATAAGAATTCTTTTGTAGGAATATTTGGGATTTATATTGGCTTTGAATGAATCAGTTCAAGGAAAAACTTTAGATGTTGAATGCTCACAAAGTCCTGCAATAGGAAATGTTGTTAAAATGCTTAATGAATTTGATGAATGGATAACACAGATACCTCCCACTGAACAGCCTCAACGTTTTGGAAATAAATCATTTAGAATATGGCATGAAAGATTACAACAGGTAAATATGATATATTTTTATATAAGAATCTTCAAAATTTATTAATTAACAATATTTCAGAATGGAATAACAGAATTACAAAAAGTATTGCCACAAAAATTACATAGAGCTGTTCCAGAAATAGTTCAATATTTATATGAAGGCTTTGGGAATGCAACACGTATAGATTATGGCACAGGACATGAAATGGCATTTTTAATGTTTTTATGTTGTATGTTCAAAATTGGTGCTTTTACACAAGATGATAAAGTTGCAGTAGTTATAAAAATATTTAATAGGTAATTTATTTTTTATTTAATTTAAAGTCAATATTTTATATAATTCCTAAAATTAAAAAAAAATTATATTTTTTAAAGATATCTGGAATTAGTACGTAGATTACAATTAACTTATCGGATGGAACCAGCAGGTAGTCATGGTGTATGGAGTCTAGATGACTATCAATTTGTTCCTTTTATATGGGGAAGTGCTCAATTAATTGGTATTTTCAGTTTTTATTATAATAATATATTTAAAATAATATATACATATATACATAAACATACATGAAATAAATATTTTAGGACATCCTCGTATAGAACCTCGTCATTTTGTTGAACCAGATATTGTTCAAACATATAGCAAGCAATATATGTTTCTTGGTTGCATTGAATTTATTTCAAAGGTTTGTATATATGCATGTATATATGCATGTATATAATAGTTCAATTTTTTTTTAAATTTTGAAATCATTTTAGGTAAAAACAGGCCCATTTGCTGAACATTCAAATCAATTATGGAATGTAAGTGCAGTATCTACATGGGTTAAAGTAAATAGTGGTCTTATTAAAATGTATAGAGTTGAGGTAAATATTATTGTTAATAATTTATATAATTTATAATAAATAATTTAAAAATTTAAATATAATCTTTAAATATTTAAAAAATTTTATATTTTGAATATTAGGTTCTGGCGAAATTTCCTGTTATTCAACATGTTTTATTTGGTTCTTTATTGTCAATAAAATCTGTGTCTATTCCCTCTGTTAAAAAGGATTCTCGTCGAGATGAGCCTGTACAACCATCTCCAATTCAATAATATGCTTCATATTTGTTAATGTAGTTTGTAGCAAACATTTGATATTTATAATAAAATTTTATATTTCAATTATATAATTAATAAATTAAATTAAATTTCAAGTATATTATTATAAATAATTTTATTATGTAGATATTTATCATTAAATAATAAAATATATTTTATATAAATTTTAATTTTAAAATATTTATGTAAAAAATTTATATGAAAAATTTAAATTGCAAAAAAAATGGCATTAATTAGCAATGTACTACATAAACAGATATTGTAATAATAATTTATTGTAAATAAAATTTATATATTATAAAAAGTGATTCATAATATATTTAGACATATTGTTAGGAAGATTATTTCAATATTATATTAAATATTTAATAGATTTTTACACTTAATCAGTTGTATAATTTATTTATATATACAAATATGTATTCTTTCTTACATGAAAAATTTTGTCAATATTGTTCTCTTATATATAATATATAAACATGCAAATTGTTTGCTGAATATTAAAATATTTGTTTTACATAAAAGATAAAATATCCAAGATATATATTTATATATTTTTTTAAAAAATATTATATTCTACAAATTCTGAAAGATCTAATAAATTAATAATAAGTTAATCAAATAATTCTTCATGAAATTACCAATGACAAAGACAAAATATAAAACATTTTAAAAATTTTTGTAATCCAAAAGAGAATTACAGATTTTTAATAGTTAAAAAATTAGCTAAATTATATCAAAATTTGAATAAAAATATTAAATTTAAAGAATTCTCTATCATAGAAATAAATCGAACGAAAGATAGAAGATGAATTAAATGTTATATAGATTTTAATACTACAATAGATTAAAGAGGCTAGATAATTTTAAATATCAGTTAAGTTCTCGAGCATTGGATTAAATATCTAAAAAAAACCGAGATTTATTTTTGGTAATACATTATGTTGATCCTATTAGTCATGGAATGAAATCAATGATGTAACAATAATTTATATTGTAGAAAATGTTTCAGGAATTATAATAAACAAATAAATAACCACTTATAATGGATTTTTTTAAAAATTCAATTGATCATGGTAAACATGTACTTAAACAAAAAAAAATATTAAATTTAAAATACAATAATTTGCTATATTAAATTTATAATATAATATATAAGAATAATAATTTAAAAAATATATATTTATATTTGTAATAAAATACAAAAATATAAAATGTTTCAACAGTAATAAAACATATATCTTTTAACAATGAAAAAATGTTACACAATCATATATATAAATCACAGATAATATATTCTATATATAAATTAAAAAATATATATGTTACTTTTTATTCTCATTATTTATCTATAAATGATTATCTATTATAGTATCTAGTATAGGCATATCTTTATATAATTTTACATATTTTAATAAAGATATATAAATTTCAATAAAAATGAAATACACGCTTAAAGCGAAGAACGTTTCATTTTTTGATTAACAATTCCATTTGCTATAAAATTAGTAATTTCTTCATGTTTAAAATTTAATTCATTAAGAATTTCTATAGTATGCTCACCCAATTCAGGAATCTTTTGATATTTTTTGGATATACCAGGTGTACGAGATAAACGAGGAGCAGGATTTGGAGTAACTGAACCATCATCTTCAATCTTAAATGTATTTCTTTCTTTATTATGTGCATGTAATGCAACATTTTTTAAATTCAAAACTGGTGTTACACAAGCATCTGTGCCATCAAATATGGCACACCATTCTGCTTGAGTTTTTTGTTTGAATATTTTTTCTAATTTTTCACGATTTTTTTCAAATTTATCAAATTGTGGTATTTCATCAGAAGAAATACCAAGTTTTTCTAAAAATATCTCATAAAATTTAGATTCAATTGCTCCAACACATATATATTGTTTATCTTTTGTTTCATATGTATCATAAAAATGTGCTCCAGAATCTAATCTATATTTATAAGAAATTATTTAATTATCTATTTTTATAAAACTAGAGAATAAAATAAATAATAATTTAGTTTAAAAATTCTTACATATTTTTACCACGGGGATTTCCCCATAAACCAAATATATTTTGAGATCTATACATCCAACTACCTATGTATGCTGATCCATCTACCATTGATGCATCAATTATTTGACCAATATTACTTTTACTACGTTCAAATAATGCTAGCATTATACCAAAAACACCAATCAATGCACCAGTAAAATCAGTTAGATTAGCTGGTGGTGTTGGTTTTTGATTGTATCGTCCAAATAATGATAATAAACCTGAATATTATTAGAAATACTTTAAAATTCTTATAATATTAAATATTTGAAATAAAATAACTAAATATATATGTATAATATATATAAAATATATATAAATATACAATAATATGTAATAATATGTTATTAGTAAATTACCAGATAACCTAAAAAGTTAATATCATGTCCAGCCATATTAGCATAAGGTCCATTTTGACCAAATCCTGTTAATCTAACATATATTAATCTCTTATTTGTTTCCATAAGTTCTTTTGGTCCAAGTTTTAATTTTTCCATTATTCCTATTAATAATTTTATTATATTATGATTTATTATATTTACATAACAATAAAAATTTGTTAAAAAATACTAAACCAGCTCTATAAGGATCTATAATCACATCACTTTGATTACTTAGTCTTTTAAATATATCAAGACCTTGAGAAGTTTTTAAATTTAATGCAATTGATCTTTTTCCATGACTTAGAACATCAATGGTATTATAAAATCCATCAATCTGCAAAAAACACTATGCTACAAACACTAAACTACAAAAAACAAATGTTAATTTATTTCAATTGAAAAAAAGTCATATATTAATAATACCTTATCTACTTTAATTACAGATGCACCAAATTCATTTAATATCATTCCACAAAAAGGGCCTGGAGCAATTCCAGCTAATTCTAATACTTTTATACCTTTTAAAGGCATATTTATATAATGATAAAAATTATAAGAATCAACACAGAATGAAAATTATATAGAAGAATATTTACATACAATTGCATTAATATTAAACATATTCAATAATAAAAAAAAATACTAAAAAAGAAATTTTTATAGCAAATGTATATGATATATTAAAACATCAAAAATTATTAATTTTTTTTTTGGATTTAATAGCTTTTGAAATAAATAGAATTCAAAAATGTTAATTTTAAGTTCAAAAATCTATTAAGTCAAAAATTATTCGTGTTTAACTTATTTAGTGATGTTAAATTATGTTAATGATTATATTAAAATTTAATATTTTATCAAGACATTATATTGATTTGCCCAATAAGCGAAATCAATATGCAATATATATCTTTAAAAAACATCAATTTTACAAATAAATAATTTTTGAACTAGTGAATTCTTAAATTTAAAATTAATATTTTTAGATTCTTCGCCAAAAAATTATTCGAAAAACAAAAAAAAAAATTATCAATTTTTGATGTATTAAAATAAAGTTTAGCCATACACATTGAATTAATTTTATTAAAAAAATAAAATATTTAATTATTCAAATATTGGTATTAAAATCTCCAATGGAAACAAGTACATATTGATAATCAGAGTTACCAGCATATTGATCAGCTATTAATGTAGAAAATAAAAAAATAAATAGAGTTATTGTATTAAGAAAAAATTAGTTAATGAATTTATAATAACATTATCATATTATAGATTGTTGACAAATGAAAGTGAAGATTACATCACATAATGTGAAGTGAGATATAAGAGTGAGAATAGTCACATTCTCTTAAGAAGGAATTTTTGTGGCAATCTAATTGTCCGTTGGTAATTTTGATACGCAGTGTACGGTAAATAAATATTATAACCTGTAATAGAACAAATTGTTTTCATTATAAACAAATTCAATTAAAATATCATCAAAATGAATCCGACGGAACCTACAAGTACTGAAACTTTAAGGTAATTATATATAATTTAATTGTTTAAAATAAATCTCCATTTAAATTTAAGTTAAAAGTATGTTGAATCGTAATTTCTATGCAATTCTTATATTTTATAATTTTCATTCTTATTTTATATTCAAAGAATTCAATAATATATTAATAAATTTTATGCTTAATTAAATTTTTATAGTATTTTTAATAATTTCATATATATTTTTCATATTTAATTATAATTAATCATATAATATATCTGTAACAGATTAATTAATAAAAATATATTGTTTAAAATAAACTTTTTTTTCGAATTTTGTATAGTTCCAAAATGAAAGATGTTATTGATGTATTAGCTATGCAACGAGAGAAAAGAAATACTTTGCAGAAAAGTATTACAATTGATTACACAAAAAATAGTGATAGTTTCACAATTTCAAGATTTATATTTGAATGTGGTAGGTTTTAAAAATGATGATAAAAAATGTATTTCAAAAAGACTATATTTATGAAAAGTGATTTTATAAAATTATAGGTTTAAAATTAGAAGCTCATCCATTGACTATTGCTACAGCTGCAACATTATATCATAGATTTATAAAAGAAGCTGTTCCAGGAGGTTATGATAATTATGTAAATTACACATTTATAATATTAATTAAAATGTATAATATATATTTTTTATAATTGACATTTATATAGATATATATATATCTTTTAGTTAATTGCTGCAACATGCCTTTATTTAGCTGGAAAAGTGAAAGATGATAATTTAAAAATAAGAGATGTAATGAATGTATCTTATAGCACATTACATAGAGGATCACAACCCTTAGAATTGGGAGATCAATATTGGAGTATGAGAGATGCAATAGTTCAAGCAGAACTTTTAATCATGCGTATGCTCAAATTTCAAGTAACTCCAATACATCCACATAAAGTAAATATTAATCATATATATGTTTTTAATTTATATTTAATTTATATAAATTAAATATAAAAAATAATGAATAATTAATAAATAAAAAAATATAATTTTAGTACATGTTACATTATTTACGGTCTTTGCAAGCATGGTTTGGAGAAGAAGAATGGTCTAAATATCCAGTTGCAAAAACCAGTATGGCACTTCTGCAAGATTTTCATCATTCTCCAGCTATACTTGATTATCCACCAAATTTAATAGCAATTGCTTGTATTAATTTGTCATTACAAATTTATGGTGTAGTAGTTCCATTAATGGACGAATGTGATCAGCAACCTTGGTTTAATGTAATTAAAATAGTCTTCAAATTTATAAAAATCAAAAAACATTTAAAAGTATAAAGCAAACTGTAATTTTTTTCAGGTTTTCTGTAAAGATTTAACAAGAGATAAACTTTGGGAAATAATGGAAAAAGTTATGGGAGCATATGATGAAGAACCAGAAACTAGAGACAATTAAAATATTTCAATACTATTTCAATTTCATCATATATTAACATAAATCCAACATTCTCATAAAAATTGGTATTGAAAGAGTACAAATATAAATTAGGATCATTAAAACAAATTTTTCCGATTTTGTGTTTTGTATTTTTCTATACCATTAATATTATTTTTAAATTAAAGAATAATAAAATTTGTAATATAAAAAAATTATAAAAAAATAACTTGTGTATTTTAATTTACCATTATATGAACTTGATAATTGTGATTATTATTTATAATTATTATAATATAAATTAATATTCTTATAAAAATATATTTTTTAATATAAAAATTGGAATATTAATTTTATCATATAAACTTATATTTGAAATATTTGAAAAATATTTATTTAAAAATGCAATGCAATTGTATTAGAAGTATGTAAAACTTTCAATAACAAATCGTTTTCACATTTTATAATATTGATATATTTATTTAAATTTAATTTTGATATATTTCAAATTTAAACAATATTCAATTATATATCAAATTGTGATTATTATTATAATTAAATAAATAATCTATTCAACTTACTAATTAAAAAAATTTTTCAATATTCTAGAATATAGAAAAAAATTTTTTATATTTAAATAATTATTAATTATTTAAATTTTTTGATTATCATAAATTATACAAAAATCATTTTATACATATAAAGTTTTGATATGTGTGAAGTTAGTTACTTACTTAATATAAATTACAATTGTGGAGTCAAATAAGTGTAGATATAAATAATATTTTTGTTTGATAACAAAAAGAATATTTAATTTCTCCGAATTATAATATTGATATAAAAATTTAATAGCTACTACATTCATTTTACGAAATAACAAATGGATGTTTGATTCATAAGAATGTTGAACAAGATATTATTGTGTGGTGAATATTTACGAAATATATGAGATATCCGTGAAAAATTTGAAATAATAATTCTATAAATTTTTAATTACAGAATATTGAATATGACAACGATAAATCAAATTGATAAATCTTTACCATTCACGTTGAAACGAGGACAAGAAAAATTTGAAGATACTGATGATGATAATACAAGTCTCGAGGATATTAATGATCTTCTATCAATATCAATACCTTCACTTTCGGCGAATAAATTTCACATTCCTACCGATCTAAATGATGAATTTCTTCGATTAACTACTACGGCATGTTTCTTGTATAAAATACAATAAATATTTCAAAATATTAAAATCTAAATAAATATTTAGTTATTTTTATACATTTAATTAATAGTTTTATTATAATTTATAATTAATTAAATATCGACATATTTATAAAATGTTAAAATATTAAATTTAATATTTTAATTTTTATTACAGGTTCGTGCTGTATATTTTTCATATCTTCATAAATGTTTACTCACTAATTATATTCTTTGCTATAAAGAGAAAAATGAAGATATTCCAAGTAGTCAATTAAAAAAATGTGCAAATGAAATGGAATTGCTTGCAGTGCGATCATCTTTAGAAGCTACTTTATATAGACAAAATATGTTAAAATTAGTAAGTTTATTTATTGATGTATTTTAATATAATAAATTGATTAATAATTGAAATTAAGATTTATAGATTTCAGATGTAAAATCACATACATCAGAAAAAAAAGCTTATAAAAAATTAATAATATTTTTAGAAACCCCATCAACTAAAGTAGACATTGGGGTTCAAACAATTAATACATGGGCAGAATTAGAAAGAGCAGATAATATACAAAGTATATGTATTACATCTAATTGTGAAGAATTATCCTTACATAAAGAAACACCGAAATATAAAGAAGAAGATGACATGAATAATGAAAGTGAAGATTATGATATATCTTCTCAATTAACTATTTGCAATAATACAACTTCACCTACTATAAATTCTACTCATTTCCATGATAAAATACAAAATAAATTCAATATCAAATCAGATGAAGAAATAAAAAAAATGATAGTAGATGAAGAGACAATGAAAGAAGATAGCAATATTTTTAATTATATAAAAAATAATTCTAATTCTCAAATTCCAAACCAATCTAATATTCAAAATGATGATGAAAATTCACAGGATTCGCTTTTACAACACATGGAAGACATGTTTTGCGATAGTGACGATAGTAGTGATCTTATGACATTAATTGAAAAACATTCAGGTGTTACTAAAGCTAATATGGATAAGGAATTAATGCTCTTCTTCCACATAATTCAAATGGCTCTATTAATATGCCTGAAAATAATATAAAAATTAATTCTGTTAAAAATACTAATATAAAGACATTAAATACAAATACAGGAAAGTATAGTTTTAGTTACTATAAAGAAATGAAAACCAGACAAACTAATAAATTACCAGTTGAAAATGAAACAATAGAAAATAAACATAAACGTAGAATAAACAGTATTTGGTTTGTTGAACGTGTATATCAAGTATCTAAATTAAAGGCAAAAATGACAGAATTATCTTTAAAAGATTATAGAAAACATGGTAGAGTTAAAGAAAAATTCATTGAATTATTTGGAGAAACTGATGACGAAGAAATGATGCCAGATTCACCTATTTGTATAGAAGAACATTTAACTGCATGTAAAGAAAGAATAGCACCATGGATTGTAAAACATTTGATGCCATTCTATAAAAAACGAAGAATTAAAGATAGGCAGTTATTTAAAATAGTTGCAAAGCATGTAGCTGATATGCTTATTATTGAAAATACATTTCCTGGTTAGTAAATATTAAATTTCTTAACAAACTATTAAAAATATTATTTAATATAATACATTTTTTTTATTTTTTAGAACAAGACTGTGTGAGCAAATATATAGAAACATACTTCAAAAATAAAAAATTTATTAGAACTAAACAAGATGTATATTTATAAATATACATTGTGTAATTTAATCTGTTAGGTCGAAAAAATCTCATAAAATGTTTCATATAATTCAATTATTAATATTGCATTTATTCAAATAAAAGTTTTAAGCTTGAGATTAAATTAAAAGCAAAATTATATGTTTTATTATAAAAAAAGAAGAATAAATATAATATCATAAATTATTATAAATTAAGTTTAGAATGCAATATAAAAAAAAAAAATAATTTAGGATTGTTACAGGAACTTTTTTTAATTTAAAAGAAAGTATTATAGTTCAATAATATTGAATTTTTAATGAAAATTTTCACATAAATTTTTTTAAAATAATATATAGTTTATTTTTAAAATAAATTAAAATTAAAACTTTTTTTGAATATTAATTTCGTAAAAATAAATATTTAAAACAGTCTTAATTATTCTTATGTTCCTTATTATTTATATTGATATATAATATTTCTGTTGGTATGCAATGTTATGTGTGCATCTGTATATATACGTAAATATATTTATATTAAATTAATGAAATATATTTAAAATGTTTTTTTGCAATATTAATTGTAACTTAAATAAAATAATGTAAAATAGTTTAATCTATGCCCTGTATATAGTCCCCTTGATAAATATAAATGTTTAAAAAGTGTTCTTCTTAATGTAAGTTACAAAAATGAAAACATAATATATAAATTATTGATTTTACTTTCATTCCATAAAGCAATAATGTATCTTTCAAAATAAAATAAGGAGCATAACAAAGAAATTCAAAATACCTTAATTATATATATATTTTATCATTAATAAACAAAGATTAAATTTAGTAAATATTAAATTTTTAACAGTTTTTTCTTATGCAAAGAATATTAAATTATAAACAATTTTTTAGAGATTCATCTCTATTTTTAAATTATTTTATCTTATTTACTTATTTGTAATAATTCTGTTTACAAATAAACTTATGCTATTTACAAGTTATTCAAAAAAAAACAGCATAATAAAATATTAGATATTTAATTTAATTTATTTTATTACATTGATATTATCTGTATACAAAAAACAGTGATAAAGTTATTAAAAAAGATTAAATTTTTATTATACTTTCTATTGAATAACTTGTAAATAAATACTTTTTGTCTTAATATTTTATTTTTCAAGCCATATTTTGAAATCCATATTTCAATCATATATTTATATATTAATTGAACTGTTGTATACAACATTATTCTGCAATTTCTGAAACTGATATATAAGTGTAAATTTATAAATTTTTTATAGAAGCTGATATAGCTATATTATTAAAAAAAAAAATAAAAACTTTATTAATCTTTTTTTCTAACTGATAATGATATTCAATAATAAAATCCCTCCAAATATTTTGTCATTGTGTTTGAAACACAATGATCTTAAGAAACAAGTTTCAGTCCAACATCACAGTATAGAAAGCTCGATTAAATATTGCATAGATATAGAGGGATCTTAATAAATTGTAAATTTAAAATTTTAAAATAATCAAATATAACTTTACATATATATTGAAGGTGGGGAGAAAAATATACTTGAAATAAGAATTATTGTAACTTATGTATTACGTATTTTTCCAGGTACGTAATTCTTGTCTATTACAGGTTCTTGTAGAAACATATGTAAACATCGTTCATTTTGTGCTAATGGATGTCCTGCTATTCTGAAATATTATAAATTTTATTTAATTTCAACAATTTTTTTATATTAAAATTGAAAAAAATAGTTATATATTTTAATTAATTATATTATGTTAACATATTTTAATATGCTCACTTATTAACAAAAGCTTCTAAACCTTTTCTTCGATCTTCAATAAAATCTTCTTCAAAAATACCATCATCGCCTCGAAATGGCATTTGACGTTTCCAAGCCTTTCCTGGTAATGGAGGCACTACTATCTATATGTTTATAACAAATATTTTTTATTTATTTGTAATACTGATATTTTTGATAGAAAAATTTTAGTATAATGAGTTAATGTTGCCAATATTAAATATATATTTAATATTATTATATATTTTTATTCAATATTAAATATATATTTTTAAAAAATTAATTTAATTTTCTAAATTTTTTTATTAACTAAAAATATTTTATTAACTGACCTTGCTATCTCTTTCTAATTCAGTTCTTAACCATTCAAAATCACTATATCTTCTTCTTACTGTGGAATCTTTTACTTTAAAAACTGGAAGATTTGTCTGAAATGAAAATTTATTTTTTCATAATTTATTTATATATTATATTATATATTATTTATAATAGCATTTAAAATATAATATAAAAATGTATAATTTATAATTAATTTTATCTTAAAACAATAAAATATTTATATTATTAATATTAATACAGTATACAATATATAATTAATATTATTTTAAATTAATTTAAATAATTATATATTTTATAATATATTATAAAATATTATAATATTATAAATAATATTATATTGTAAATAATTTATACAAAAATTATTTTGTATAAAGAACTGTTGCTTTAATTTTTTAAGATCATCCATAGACATTAATCTAAGGTTTATAATAACTTCAATATTTTTTTTATATCTATCCAAATTATCATTAAAAGTAAGATAGCAGACACTGCCCATGATAGATTTGGTTAATATCTACAATAAAATTACTCCTTTCATTAATGCCATAATTATTATATATGAAATGAAAATATTTAAATTTTAAATATTTAAAAACATTTAAATTTTATTTTTGTAAACTTTTGTAAATTATCTAATATAACAAAATTGTACTACATATATATATTACATATATATATATATATATATATATATATATATTGAATACAATGCAATTTTTTTTTTACAAAAAATGATGAATTATATATATAAGTAATTTATTTTTATTTATTTATTATATTAATGAATAAGAATCAATTAATTAAATATTTTATTATATTACGTAAAAATACAATAGAATTTATATATATTGATAATATATAGTCTTATGTTGCATTTAAGCGGCAAAAGGAAAACTGACATTTAGAATAGAAAAATACCCAAAATATACAAATTTATAATATTAGATAAAAACAAGTTTAAAATAAAAAGGATCTATCACTTACCCTCATACGAACTTCATAATCAGTGTATCGTTTTTTGCCGACGCCGTGTGTGATTGGATTAATCACATCAATTTCGAGAAAATTTGCAGGTGCTGCATAAGCGTCATCCAGAGTCTGTTTTTTAACATTTAAACGACGTGTAGCGTCCACTGTCGTATCCGCCATACCTTTAACTGTAAATTAATTAAACAGTATAAATATCACCTAAAAACAAATTCGATACACTGGATAATGAAAGTTCGTCAAATGACAGCGGTAAGAAACTTGACACAATTTATTCTCATGTGTTATGTCTGTGGTTATGATATAAGAGAATGGAGATAGAGAGGAAACTTACAAATTAAATAAGATACATGTACTATGTCATCTATAAAATAATATTATTAAGAACTGTTTTTATCAAATTTTATATTTTAATTGATTAAATTTTAATACAATCATCTTTCATTGATAATAATAATATAATATTGTAAAATTACGTTAAATAAATATAATTAAATATTCTAATAATATGTGATAGCTATTATAGATATTATATAAATGTATTAATCGAAAGTTATACATTGACTCTAGCTATTATACATTATATGAAATAAATGTTTTAAAAATATTTAAAAATTGATATATAGATATATATCAATGCTTTCAATTATATATATAATTAATAAACAATAATAAAATAAGGTAAAGGCATTTTAGAATATAATATATTTTTAAAAAAATCCATCACATAACTATAAAAATAATTAGAATGATCATTTTTGTGTATAGATACATATAATTTGAAAAATCCGATATGTATATACAATTATGAAATTATATAATAATACATATTTAATTATGGTTTATTGTTCAAAATGATAAAATATTAAGTGATAAAATATGGTAAGAAGTATATATATTAAGTATTATTAAATATTTTTTCAATAATTATTGAATATGGAAATTAATAAAATTTATTATATCAATTAAAATAAGTTATGATATTAATTAAAGTATATTTATTGAGCATCAAAACATCATATTAAAACAATGATTTTTATTATTGTATAAAACAAATCTTATTACTCTTAACACAGTTATATATGTGTCATCTAATAAATTTTTCAGATAATGACATATTTTGATATTTTATGATATACAAATAATTAATAAATTAAGATAAAAATTAGTTTGTTTACACGATGAGATGTGAGACGTTTGCTGTATATGCAGCTGGCGATAATCTGATATCATCTGAACGAGGAATAGGACGTTGACGGATATCACTATCTCCTGGCCACGCTCGACCAGGACTTCGTGGAGTCACGTTTGATCTAGCTACCGTATCGACTGCTAAACTCACAGTTGTAGGATCATTAAGGCCATTACTTTGAATCCTTCGTTGAGCAGCTATCGAAGCCCGCAAAGTTTTCCGTTTCTGCATTTTAAAATCAAAAATCAAAAAATTGAACTAGATACAAGTATTAAATATCTTAAACAATTGCATTCATTTCATTGCTTTAACTAATACTATTGTATTTATATTGCAATATATAAAAAATATTGAAAATTAATTATAAATAATGATATTTTGCGTTTCTATGATAATAATAACTTTTTGCAGTAACATATTAAAATGTAGAAATTTTCTTTCAATTTTTGTATCTATTTTTTAAAAGAAAGACTAAAAAGGTAATATTATTATCAATATAAAGAAGCCAACTGTATGATGCAACATAAAAGAAGCAATTTTGGTGTAGAATACGATAATTATTCTTTTTTCATCGTAGCTTACACCTTCATTAAAAGTTGAATCTCATTGCATTGACTATATAATTATTTTTATTATTAAAGCTTGCAAAGCGATGAATATTTGTGCTTTGATCTATAATGTTCGTTTGATGATCATATTCTTTTTTGTTACTGAGATCTGTTAGAATTTCCTTCGTTGCTCCCCTAATTTGTCCTGGCTGCTTGCAATTTACTAATAAACATAGAATTCTGAGAAAAAGAGAACGAAAGATATCGAACAGAAGAAAATCGGTTTCTGCCAAAAATTTAGTATATTCAAATCTTTCTTTACCTCAATTGCACCTCTCCATTTATCGGCTGCATGTCTTGCTAATTCCATCTTCTTTTGCTTACGAATCTGATGCTTTTTATATGCTACTTCAATAATAATTAGTCCGATACCACCAATAATTCCAACACCGACCACTATAAACACTCCGGCCATATTTTTTAGGCCCAAAGTATTGGGAGCTTTTTCCAGTTGTTCACATTGTTGTACATTACTTCGGAGAATCCAATGATTGTCGAGACTCTCCATAAAGCCACCTAAAAATATATTATATATTTAATAATAATTATTGTAATAATTAAAATAATAATTATTAATTAATATTTCTTTTTATTAACTTTTTATTAACTTTAATATATGATAATTTTTGTATACTAAATTTTTAATTATTTTAGGTAATAATTTATATTAATTCTTACTTTCATGGAAGTCTAAAATAGCAAGAGTTACTGCATCTGCCCATAAAGAACCTTTTTGCAAACCAATTCCGTAACCAGAACGACCAAATAATTCTCCAGCAGTTACTAATTCACAATCTTGAGCAGCTTCGAATTCTAATCGAGAACTATCCCAGATAAAAGCCATAAGTTTCCTAAAGCATAATATAATTCTTAAGAATTATATTCTTTTAGAATTGATATTTTATAGTAATCAGAATTTTTTTTTTTTACCCAATTTTTATATCTCTAATAGCTTCTTCGGCAGTATCGTAATTGTTCGCTTCCATTGTACGATACATATTGGATAATTCGACTTGGCGACGGAAATACATGTCTACAGCAGAACCTTTTACCGTGGCACATGTAAGATTCTCCATGGTATTTCTAAGCTATAAATATATGCATGTGATATTTCGCAGATAATGTAATTCGTTACTTTGACTAAAATCATTATTTAATTTTTAATACAATATTTAATTATTTAATACAGTAGCAAAAATAGCAATAGTGATAATCGATAAATATATATATATATATATGTATATATATATATAAAATATTATAAAAATGATTCAATAAAGAATTTAAAATTATAAATGTTAATAAAAAATATATTATAAATGAAAAAACACATACAAAATATATACAATAAATGCATATATATTATAACATTATTATATTTAATATGAACATTGTTATTAAAATAAATTGTAGAATTCTTTTTATTATTTTTAATATTTTTCTTTCAAATGTCAAAGATTTATGTCAATTTAAAGCAATATAGGTTGAATATTAAATATTGTCATGGAACGATTTGGACATGTTAATTGTATTAGCATTTAAAAAAATTAATATCAATTTTGATTTTATTAATTTTATTCTTACTCGAGCATCGTTGATACCAGTTAATTCGTTTTTGGTCGTTCCAACACAAGAAATGCAGCTAAATTGGCAGTATAAGAAGCAACGATAATCATCGCAAAACCTGCCCATACCATGCCCAACACTCGAGCAGAAAAACTCCGTGGAGTACCTATTAAATAGTTTTATATTTATTATTTACTTTTAATACTGATAAAATCATACTCATTTATAGAAATTATTTTTACGCAACTCAATGCTTAAAATCAATTTAATAATATTTTAATTAGCTTTAATAAAAATAATACATAGTTATAAATATATTCTATAATATTGAATCATACATAAATTCTTTTTTTTTCTAAATAGGTTTTCTTATAAAGGAAATAACAAACCTTCTCCGATTCCACTGTTAAGAAGAACTCCCCAAGCGAACCAGACAGCGCTAGATAGATTCAGGGCATCCTCTTCGGTACCGTCAGTGTTTGCTAGCTTGAACCTCCCGAAAGGCGAAAACCGGTCGAGGAGGTACAAAACTAGAGCCACTACGTGCACCGATACCATTACCAATATCCACAGAGTATTACTAAATGGTTGTAAAAACGACACCAAAGTTGATGATCTTGATGGCTAAAGATAAATATTTTTTCAATATTATATTTTATAGTCTTTTTATTATTCAATATAATATTAATTATTTATTCAAATAATTATTATTATGAAATATAATGTTAAACTATTCTTTAATTATTTTTTAAATTCTTTAATTATTTTTTAATTTAAAATTAATTTTAATCTTAAACTTTAATTTAAAAATAATTAATTTGAAATTAGTTATTAAAAAATATACCTTCTTTTCAAGAATGGTGATGCCTTGATATTTAAATGGTTTGCTAAATTCGATGAACTCTGCACGTTCTGGATTAATTGTTAAAGGAGCAACAATCATATCTGCTCTTTCATTCACCAATTCTCCGATAAGTCCAGTCCATTCCTTTTTCCTCCTACTAAAAAAAGGTACTCATGAATTAAATATATATATCATTTTTTCACGTTAAAATTTATTTTCAAAAAAGTGAAATCTTGTATGTCTTATATTTTATATCTCTCTACAATTGTTTTATCATAATTTTATTCGCACCTGAATTGTTTTTGATTATATAGTTGCCAAATTGTCCATCGGGAGATAAAGCCAAACTGTAGGTAAAATTAATAGTCTTTGATAACTCTTTCAATAAATCCATGCAGTATCCTTTGCAACAAAATGTTTTTGTAGCTGAAAATATTTGAATTAATGTTAATAATGAAAAAGATACATTATATATTGTGATATTTAGTATTCTTACTTTCACCATCGGTGACATTAAAATGAGGACATAGAATCTCTTCTGGAAGACATGATTCACTGAATGCGATTTCACGAACGTAGACAAATGGTTTTTCTTCAATAGTGAGCACTTTGAGATGGGTAGGAATCATGAAACCCTCGGGTTTAGTTTGCAATCGGCCAGGCCATGTTATATTGGATTCGTTGACGCTTAATGTCATTTTTTCAGTACCATTCTACGATATGATACTGAATATCAATACTAAAGAAGCAAAAAGATATATTCACAAAATATTTAGATTTTAATATTTTAAAATATTAAATTAGATATTAAATTATAAATTAGATTGTGTGTATGTATGAATTTATCAAATTAAATAATAATATTATAATATTTTAATATTATAATAATATTAAAATAGATAAATATTTACTTCTTATATTAAAAATTGTGATAAGTAATTCGTAAAGAAAAATATTATTCATTTTTTAAATAATTAATAATATATTAATAATAAATTAATATCTAAATAATTATCTAAAAAAAATAATCATAAAAGAAATAATTACAAGTATAAAAAAAATTATATTTTTATTATTTTATTATATTATTTTTTTTTTAATCTCACTGGATAAAAATATCGTCCAACGGAGACCTGATCACCATTCTCTTGAATATTAATTATATCATATTCCGCAAAAATACGATCTCCATTATCATCAAACGCTACTTTGCCAGTGAAACCTGATAATTCCTGTTTGCGAATGAATCTAAAATAGAATGAAATTGTCATCATATAATATTAGTTAATTCATGTTAAAAAATTGAAAAAGAAAATGATAGAAATAAACCATACTCAAACAGATTTTTGCCAGTTTCCCATATGGAGCCGGAATCTCCACAATTCTTTGGCGGCTCTGTGATTGATTTTGACTTGTTCATCTCTTGTAAAGCAGATGTAAGCACTCTCCTGAAATATATATAATATGTTAAATTATAAAAATCAAATTCATAAAATTTGCCAATTCAAAATAATAAAATTTAAAATATTAATTATTCCCTTTATTTGAATAATTTTTAAACTATATAATAATATAATTAATTTTTCAAATTAAATAATAATAATAATAAAAATAATTTTCATGAACATTCGAGACTATTCTTATATTACCCAATCGAATGTTCGTTAACTACTAATTATATGTATCTGAAATTGTTATAGATTATTTCACACAGAGGGACAGAGCAACGTTACTTGTGCACACATATGTTCAAAGCATATTCAGCGTTTGCTGAATGAAATATCCATTGGAAGGATGTGCTAAGAGAGTATGTAATCCAGTGATCTGAAATCAATTGTAGATTGCTGTGAAATCAAGATGCATTGTTTCTTGTGCATTGCATGCAATTGTACAAATCAAAAGAAATTTAAAGGAATGAAGAAAATATTTTCCTTTTTGTTTTTTTTTATAAAATATTATAAGATATCTATTAATTTATTTTAAGCCTTTCCATGCATGTATTCTTCTGTTTTTTGGGGAGAAAAACTCTTTTCAGTAGTAATACACGAAACTACGAACGTAATATACATGCGTGAATATCTATATATGATTAGAAATGAACTGACAGACTATCTTTGATGTGAGCCGTCTCATTCTCCGCATTAATTAATTTCAAGCCAAGAAGACCTTCCGGTGCATTCGATGCATCTAAGGCTTGCTCTGTTACAATCCAAACATATCCTGCACCGGTCATGTTCATCGCCGCAGCGTCTTGAAAGATAACACTTGCATCCATTTTTCTATTAAAAAATAACGAATTTTTTTTAATAATTACCAATTTAAAACAGATTAAAGAACAATATATTTGTTGATAAAGGTTTATAAGATTATTTTGTGTCATATGATAATATAATATTAATTATTATATTTATTATAATTATTTTAAATAATTTATAAATCTTATTTTTCCTTCTTTCTAAATTAATATCATGTAAATTTTAAATAATTAATACTTACGAAGCATATAAAAGATAAACTCTAGCTTGTGCGTTTTTCATCTCTATCAACTGTTGTGTGAAGCTATCTAAACCAGGTTCGAATTCAATCACAGATTCTACCTTTTAAATAATTTAATAATTCATAAAATTTTTATTAAAAACTATTTCTATTTTAGATGGATATAATTTAATAATTTTATACGTACTTGAACCTTAATTTCAACATCATCTTCCAAATTTTGAGAAGTTGTCTGAAATCTTCCAAGTAATGCACGACCATCTGTGTCCGAACTATGAATGAAGATTACTTTCATATAATTGAAATGTTTCAATAGTTCAACCCAAACATCTGTTTGATGTGAGTATGGTGGTACTGTCCTTAAGAAGGAAACGTGAATATTCTAAAAGAATAAAATATTTTAAATTTATTTTCGATTTTATTGATTTGGAATATTATCCAGGATCATTGTTGTTTCGAATATATTTCATGCATGCTATATAGATATTTAACGTAACACATAATAATATCGATAATATAATATTAAAGTATAATACCATTATAAGTAATCTTATTTGCATAGAACATGCTGGTGAAATTTAAGAGACATCTAAACATATTATGTTAAAAAATAATTTTTCACAAAATCTATTTTTATATTACTTCATATATATTTGTATTATATATATAATGTTTATAATTAAACATATATAATGTTTAATTATATTAAAATCAATATTATACATATCGTAAAAAAATGCTCGAATTATATATTAAGCATGTTTTAATATAATATAGAAATTTTAATTATATATTTTTTTTAAAGAAATTATATTTATATATCATCATTTAATTTTTCATAATTACAATAATTACAATATTTTCTTATATTTTCACTATTCTTAACAAATATTTTTATTGATTTTCATAGAATAAAAATCTTTATCAAATCTGCTAATTGACTCACTTTGTCAGAGAATGCTGAATCCCTCGAAGATATACCTATAACGGGTATGTGATAAAATCCACTTGTGTAAGAAACAGCGGCTGGTGACAGATCTCCTGTAAGGGGATGAGATACCACTACCGCATACACTTGTCTTTCTATCAAAGACTTGCATACGCTTAAAGCTGTTTTAATTGGATTGGAATCCATTTCAATTATTGTGTGCTTATAAGTCACTCCTTTATTAACGTAGTTTAAGTTGAAGTTTAATTCCTGGAAAACCAGAGAAAACGAGGAATTAATGATGATTAAATACTTAGAAATTTTCATTTCCATATAGATATAGATTTCGTATATAGATTTGTGATCATATTTGGTGTTTCATTAGATAAAGTAATTAAATCTCATGTTGAATTTAAACTCAATTATTTTGGATCATAAAGGGGAAATTATATTAAAAAACTATAAAAATTTAATCAAGTTGATTTAAATTTTAATAAAATATCAAAATGAAATCAATAAATATTTTAAATTATTTGATTTAGTTTAAGAAAATTTTAAGATTTTTTTTTTCATATTACTTACGTTTAATGTTTGCTCGAAACATTTTTTACTCTTATTATTGGAGAAAACACCGCCAATCATAAACAAGGTGGGATTGTTTAATTGTTGATTCGCAATGATATTATATATTTCATCGTTCAAAATAATCAAAGAAATGAATAATGCAATATTTTCGTATTTCATTATTACAAAAATTGACCTACAAATATAGAAATGAATTTTATTTATTAATTAAAGTATAAACAAAAAAAACTATATAAAATTATATATATATGTAATGAATCATGAAAATTATATCACATTTTAATAATTACATATAATTATAAATATACGTTAATATAATTATATTATATAAGTATATATTAAATTATATATTATTATATAATTATAATTAAAATTAATTATATAATTAATTATATCAACATATTATAATAAATTTGATAACAAAAAATTATTTTTATGAATATAAATTCTAATTACATATTCTTTTGAAATAACTTCAAAAACATTTTGTTAAAGATCAAATCTGAACGTACCGGATCTGTGCAGACTTCTCGATTGTTCACGTAATATTTGGGGACGTATAGATTAACTGATGATTCATTTGTTAACCGTTCACGCCCTTCTAAATCTAAATACACGATGAACAGATCCAGTGTTAATGATGAGCGCAAAGGTAGATCTGAGAGACAGAAGTTGGAGATTCATTGATCCATTCGGATGCTGCGCACAGACTTCGTCCCCACTATTATAATATTAGGATGTTTTCCCATTTTCCAGTCGATCTTTCAATTTCTTTTCAATCTTTTTCATACATTTTCTTCCTTATTTTAATTTTATTACTTATTTTTTATTTTTAAAATCAATCGATTTGATTCAAATTTACATTTATTTATAATTTACATTTACATAATCTTTCAAGTTTATTCATTATTATGAACTTGATTAATAATAAATATAAAAATTCACTGCATATATTTGTAAATCTTATTCTTAAATATTCTGAAATTTTATTTTTTTTAATTTTTAGTAAAAATTGTTTAATTTAACTTTTTATTTTCATTTTTATTTTCATATTATTTACATTATATTGATTTCTTATTGTGATATTAAGCTAACAAAAATTTTATTAAATTGAAAAAGTAAAGAATGAATGAGAAATAATACAAATTTTTTTTCTTGATATATATAAATGTAAAACAATTTAAAAAAATAATATGTAAAATTGAACAACAATTCAGTTCTAACATAGTCTTTCTTTTTTTCAGTCTTTGATATAAAAGAAGAGGAGGAAAAATAGTTAGCAAAATTTAAAAGATCATCCTAACTCATTATAACATCTCTTTCGAATCAATATTTTTTTGACGATTAATATCGACAATCTCTTTTTCGTGAGATGTTCGGAATAATTGAAGCTGCAAAAAAATAAAGGATATATCCGCGATTTGGATGAATTGAAGGTCATTCCGCAAAAATTATAGGGTGGAAATCTACTGAATGGAATTACAAGTTGGAAACCAAGAAAAGGAAAAGTAGGTCGACTAGCAGGACAATAAACCGATAGGCTCTGCATTGTTTCCAAGCCACGTGGTGGTGATTACACCGTGAAATGCCAGTGCGTCAGTTGTGGCCACATATCGATCCCGTAAGTTTCCATTCGGTGGCGACCTCCTCTGCGTGCGCACCCTTTTCATTTTGGTTATTTACCAAGCACCCTTAGGCCGAGTCAGGAGAACTTTGGAGAACGTGCAAATGGTGGGAAGGAAATCGAGAAAGTATAGATAACAAGAAAATCAAATCGGGTGGACCGATGCTGATAAGTGCGCGTAACTATACTAAGAAGCTTACAGATTTGAACGAAGAGTAACGACGCAAAAATAGAGCATTTTGATTGACATTTAATAAGACGGATAGAGAAAAATATAGAAAACGTAGTGAGGAATACATAAATAGAAATATAGAAACGTTAGTGAAATAAAAGTTCCGTTTTTGAAAAAAAGAAGAAAAATAGAAGAAAGTAGTATAATAAGTGAAAGAAAACAGTTTGCCAGCTAAAGCAAACGAAGGGGAAGAAAAGTAACATAACTCCAATGTATTACGGTCCCCCTCGCGAAGTTACAGAAATATGTCGTTACCACGAGAATGGTGCCTGCAGGATTCGGTCGAACGTGACGCTGTCGCACCGACGACAGCGTCGCAGGAGATGGTCGGCACGACTGTCATCGACGAAAATATGAATCAACAAAATCAATTGGGGTCCCTTTTATCTATACATTCAGCGCCCGTCTTCGATTTGAGTACAGGTGTGCCATCGCCTAAGAGACCAGCCTCTTTAGCCGTCCAGGCGACAGCAACCTCAACGCCAGTTGTGCCACCGCATCTTCAAAGTCCAGAGACGATAGAGGACGAAGATAACGACAATCTCTTGACTATATCAAGTCTCACGGCCAGGCCGTTGATTGCCAAATCTCGAGAACTTCGATCAACTAAAAACTCTAATACGAAAAAGAAAAAACCTAAAAAAAACGAAACGAAAAAAAAATCAAGAAATATTACATACGTTCCATTAGATGGTGGTTACGGTTGGATTATCGTATTCGGAGCGTTTTTCGTTCAGTTTTGGGTGACTGGACTTATGAAATCTTATGGAGTGTTATATGTTGAGGTGATGGAAACGTTTAAGGATTCCTCAGCGTCTGTCGCTTCTTGGATACCAGCTATTTTATCTTGTCTTTGTCTCGCACTTGGTAAGTAATTTTTTAGGTATAAGTTGATTCTTAAAATTCTTTTCTAATATTTCTCATGATAATAACTTTATTACTATTAGATAATTTTCAATGATCATTATTCAAAAGAATATTATATTTTTATAAATAGTGATATGAAAATAATAAAAATAAATCTTTACAAACTTTTGAAAATATATTTGTAATATATTGATAAATACATTGATGAATTATATATATATATATATATATATATGATAAATATTTAGATTAATAAAAAATTTATTAAATGAAGATTTTTTAAAAGAATAGATAGTTTTTGATATAACAATAGCATAATATATTGTATTATATTCATGTATTATATTCATATTTTGAAAATTAACATACGGATATTTCAAATACAGCTCCAGTGACGAGTATGTTGTGTCAGAAATACAGCTGTCGAGCTGTCGTTTTCGTCGGTGGATTGTTTTGCGCTTTAGGATTAACAATAAGTTATTTTGCCACGAGCTTGATACATCTCTTTTTTACATTCGGTGTTTTGACAGGTTTGTAAGATTAACAATTAATTATTATCAAATTCTTTAATCATATATTTCCATTTATAATCAATTGAAAAGATAGTGATGTTATAAAACATCGTATCATAAGTGTACTGATTGATGATAATCCTTTATTTTCCCTAAAATCATTTAAATCATCATTGGAACACTTTTATGTATCTATAATATCACTATGTCTCTCTAGTTATACATACACCTATTAACTTACGTCATTCGATTACGTAACAAACTGCAGATTCAATAGAATAAGAAAAAGATATATATGTATATTTATAATTATATAATAATATATTTTAATAATATTTAAATTATGAATATTTGAACATAAATATTTTTAGAATATTATTTATTATGAATATAACAATTTTAGGAATTGGTGGTGGTCTCTCGACAACACCAGGTATTATCCTCGTTTCTCAATATTTCGACAAGCATCGTGCTCTAGCAAATGGTATATGTGTATCTGGTACAGCAGCTGGTAGTTTCGTATTTCCACTTCTAATCAAGATTCTAGTGGATAATTTTGGTTTTCACGGTACCATTCTCCTACTTGGTGGTTGCATGTTGCACGTGTGCGTGAGTGCAACTCTATATCGGCCTTTAGAGAACAACTACGCGCCGGAAGATTTGAAGATACCAGAGAAAGAGGAAAAGGTCGAATATACAAAGGAATTAGAGTCAGCAAAACAACAAAAGTTAGATTTAATATTCGCTAATGACTCGACTGCAAAGCATAATCTGTTGAACGAATTATTTCATCAGAATAGTGTGGTGGCGGTCGAACTGACAGACAGCGACGAAGAGAAGGACGTGATGGGTGAAGGCCTCCAGATGAAACCAATCTCGAAAATACGTAGTTCAAGTATATTGCACAGTGTCGAAGATTTGTCGACCGATTCCACGTGTGTGTACAAGGCCAGGTCATCGTTAAGATCACTAAAGTCATCGATTACGGTGGTATGTCCAGAGCGAACTTCAATTCCTCAAAACGAAGCACAACTGCCGGAGGAAAAGAAAACATTAATGCAGAGGATAACACAATATATCGATTTATCTCTATTGAAAAATCCTCAATTCATCATGATGTGCTTTTCCGTTAGTCTGATGTCGACTGGAAGTCCATACATGCTCTATTATCTTCCGGCATATGTGCATGCTGCTGGTTATACGAAGTCAGAAGCTGGGTATCTGGTAGCTATTTCCGCCGCGCTTGATTTATGTGGAAGATTAGGACTTGGATGGCTTTCAGATTTAAAGCTTTTCGATCGACGGAAAGGATATATCGGAAGGTATTATAAAAATTTTTCTTTTTTATTATTATAATAAAAATATTCTGTTTATTTTTAATAGTGTTGTGGGTGCTGGTGTAGCAGTACTGGCAATTCCAATGGCCCATTCTTTCTATGTGCTGGCATGTTCCGTAGGCATGTACGGATTATGCTTGGGCTGTTGGTTTCTTTTGGTTCCCGTCCTTCTTGCAGACCAATACGGAACTGATAAAATATCTTCTACTTACGGTCTTGTTAGGATGTTCCAGAGCGTCGGAGCAATTTCTATTCCGCCTTTAGCAGGTATTATCTTATTACAATAAATTTATTACAATAACGATATTATCTTATTACAATAAATTTAAAGTATATTCAATATTGATTATAAATAAATATAATAAAGATAAAGATGTTTATTCGTTATTAATTTACGAGATATTGTTTTAACTATGTAAACAACGACAATAATATTAATATTCAAATATGATTTCAGGATACCTACGCGATGTAACCGGAAGTTACTCCGTATGTTTTCTATGCATGGGCACATGCATGGTTATGGGAGGTCTACCTCTACTTCTGATTTTTAACGAAGTATCAAATTCATCGAAGATGACTGTTAATAATGTCAAGAACAGTAATTGTCAAGGAGAAGCGATTGCAAAAAAATAAAGATATTTTGCGAATGTGATTGAATGTGTAATAGAAATCTAATAAATCACCACATTTGTCGCTACAATTATTCCACTATGATGTATTAATTGGTTCAGTGTATTCGAAACGTTTACATAAAATACCTCGTTTGCGGCAGGTAAGGGTAATTTTTGTAAGTTTTTATAAATGCACATCTCTCTTATTTTATTGGTAAATGACATTTTCATTTACATTCAAAGTAAAAATGAAGAATAAACATTCTTATACATATACATATATACACGATATAAAGAATTACTTTAAAAAAAATTGATTTATATTTGTAATTTGTCTTATATATCACATTAACATTATGTACATCATATTTACATGTTACATTATGATTATTTGTAGAGAATGAAGAATTGCGGCAGATCCTGCGATGAAAGAAATAATCTTAGTAGGAAATACATATTTTTCATACAAACAGATGTAATTAAACACAGTGATCTTTAATAAAAATTGTATTCTTTTCATTAATGTAATATTATTTTTTCTACTTTAGAAGATAATTCAACATTCAAATTAATATTCAAAAAACTTTAAAAATCTCAAAATGGCGATAAAAAAAAATATATATCTTTTATCACAAATTATATATAATTTTATTAATAAATCTATCTATAATATATATTATATATATATTATATACATTACGTATATCTTATATACATATATATATATATTTCTGTTAATAAAAATTATATATAATTTATATAAATTAATGCTATCAATTTGCATAACATTATATAATACTATCTTAATCTTTCAGATTGCATAATAGATAGTATTTCAAATACAATTCAATACCTATATAAAATGATTATGTTCTACTAAAACTGAATACTAGTATTTCTTAGAGTAAGAAATATGTCACAATGAAGAAAAATTATGTTGGTTTCCAAGCCACAACTCTCATTTTGTTATTTAATTCTTGTAATATTAAAGAACATGTAAGCTGTTTTTCTGGTGATAAACTATTAATTCCTTCCATTTCATCATCATCATCTCCTATTCCATTACTACTTCCACTTTTTCCTTTACCTTTTCCCTTTCGTTTCTTTTTTTTATTTAATTGTCTGCAATCTATATCACTAGCAGCATCTGTTGTTTTTCTAATCTATGATGATTAAAGTTTTGTATAGTCATTCTAATATATACTTATATAATTAAATAAATAATATCTTACTTTAGCACTCTTTTTTGACTGTTTATCATATTCTAAAGCATCATAATAATTTGGTTTTTCACGTTTGATTCGATTAGTTCGTCTTGTTTTCATTACCCCATTATCAGGACTAGGAGGACTTTTTATTGAATTTCGTCTTGCATTGAAAAATGAATGTCCACATGGACATGCTTTGCAGGCTACAGGAACCTTGATAAATAAATGTAATTAATATAAGAAAAAATATAAAATAATAAATATAATATAATATAAAAATATATTATGAAGTGTATAAATAATATATATAATTTATTTATATTCTAAATAGAGATCTAATAATTTCTTGTATATATTTATTATTAAAAATTAATATAATTATTCAAAGCTTACATTTAAAGAAATTATAAATTAATCAATTATTCAATTAATCAATTAATCAATTATATTTAATTTTAAAGATAATATATTTTGATAATAGGAAAATTTATGATTCATAAAATATGACTTTATTTTCTTTTTGTTGAATTTTTCCAAACTTATTCAAAAAAATTTAATGCAATTAATATAATTAAATAAAGCTATAAAATATTAAAAATAAAATTAATATAAAGTATATCATATAAATATAAAATAAATAACCATAATATAATTACCTGTTGTTCACATTTAGGACAACCTTTACTAATTGTTTTAGTCTTTGCCATATTATGAAAAAATATTTAATTAAGATTAGGTTATTTACAATTTAAATATGACTAGGAATTTATAACGTTAAAGTATATTGTCAAATAATGACATCACAGCACAAAAATAACTTTTATATCGATGAGGGTGCATTTTAAGAGCATTCACTACAACATTAAATATTTTTTTGTTGCTCTTAGCATTACTCTAATAAGTAATGACAGCCGTGATATATAAAAGAAACACAATATAAAATATTTTGTAATCCCATTGATAGATGGCAGTAAAAGTCAATTAAGAGAATGGACCAATCGTGTAATTTAGTTTTAATGTAAAGATGTTTTTGTATTTTTATTTTAATTAAATATTACATATAAGGTTTGTAACACTAATAACAAATGATGATTTATGATTTTATAAACTATAAAATTTTCCATTTAATTATAGTTTTTCTTTATTTTTTAAATATAAATGTTATTGTATTTTCTAATAAATGAAACGATAAATAAATATTGAAAATTATAATAAATATATTTTTAATAATTACAATCACCAAATAATTTAATTTATTAGCATTTAACATCAAATGAAGTTTTATTATTTTAACATTAAGTAAATCGATAGATTTTTATATCTACATATATATTACTAGAAAAAATTTAATTTAAATTATCTTAAATTGTAATTTTTCTAATAAATATCTTAAATATATCTTACCATTCTTAAAAGAATTTCAATTCTAATTTTTTGATTTCTCAAGTAAGTTGGTTCTTTAATTTAAAACATTATTACGTGAAGACAACTAACTTTAATATATCTTATAACTAAATTAGGTTAAAATTTCTTGATATTATTTTAAGAGCCATTATATCTTAAATATCTTACATGTTTTTTTAAATATTTCAAATATTTTAAATTTTAATATCAAAAAACACGCCAATTTTTAAAAATCTATTTTTATTACATTATAACAAATATGTAGTTTTTGTTATATTCATTGAATTGAATAATAAAAGAATATTCTTAGTTAATTTGAATTTTATATTGTGTTTATGAAAATCAAGAATAATAAAGTAATAAATTAAACAAATAATAAATTAAATTAAATTGTTTTTTATATAGGATATATTATTTTTATCAAAAGTATTCTTTTCGACTTAACTTTATTATCTTTGCAAATTTTCAACTAAATTAGCAATAATCTTTTTACTTAATATAATATATATTGTTTGAATAATTTTTTTTTATAGAAAATAAAATAAAAAATAGACAATTTCCTAAATTAATTTTCTTATCTTTTATATTTATTCTGTTAAGTATCTTTTAAATATTTTTCTATTTTATTCTATAATATTAAAAAATACAATTACAATGATATTTTAATCTCGTTTGATTAAATAAATGATAATTTGATATATTTATTTTATACATAAATAATTCTTTTGAAATTTTATTTAAATCATTTATTATATTAATGTATAATTTAATATTAATTATTATAATTCATAATTAATATTTTATAAGTTTTAATAACTATATTCATTTAATAATTTTCAATATAAATGAAAAATAATATATAAACAAGATATTCTTTCAGATTTAAAAATTTATGAATATTTTATTATTGATGTTAACAAAAGTTGTTTTAAGAAATTATTTATATGTTAATTAAGAGAATATAATCAATTTAATTTTTCTTTTACATTTATAGTCATTTCTCAGTTATTTGTTATTAACCTAATTATATTATCTTACGTGAAAACAGTTTCACATATTTTTTGTTATATTTTTTTATATTATATATTTTATTTGTATTTCAATCCTTTGATTTTCTTGTGCTAATTAATTATTCAAAATCAATATTTAATTATTCATAATCATCATCTTTATCATTTATTGAACATAAAACAAGAAATATTATTGCACAATTAATTTAGATGTCATGTCTGATTTTGTTTTTGATTTCTAAAATTCAAAATCATAAGATCCAAAATCTGATATGATTTTTTCCGATGATTTATAATTTATTATGATTTTAAATTTTTTTCTCTTAAATTGTCTCAATATTGAAATTATATTAATCATTGTATTTATTATTGAAGTTACTGACATTTGATTTTGACATTAAATTCCAGATATATTATCAGATATATCTGCATATTCTCCACTATCTGTTATAGAATATAAGGTTTTGTCGATTTTCGAACACTGAATTTGTTTTGAAAATTGAACTTTAATTTCTTCATTAGTATTAGTCGCAGTATTTATAACATTAAAACATTTATCTTTCAATATTTTTTTTCTGCATTTTTTTTCACTTTTTTCATTATCGATAAACAATTGATTACATTGAAGATTTTTTTGCATTTTTTGCATTTTGATTATATTTTCATATATCATATTACCATCATATATCTGAGAACAATTTCGAATATCTTCTTCTTTGTTAATTCTAATTTCTGGAATTTCTAATTTTAAATTATTATTATCGCAATTATTTTTTTCGGAAATCTATGATCACATATTTTTATCCTATCTTTTACACATTCAGTAGTCATCAAATGTGACGTCCATTCAAGGTCATTCTTATTATTTTCATTGCACGTATAACATTTCTTGGAATCTCGATTTCTTCTTTTTGCAATTGAATGTTGTAAAGTATAATCTTTAGTTTTATTTTGTTCGTTCTTCGATGCATTCAAAGTTTTTTTACAAACACATGAATATGTTTTTCGATCGTAAGTGTTTGCATTATTAATTTTTATGATTTTTAAGTAAGGACTATCGCAATGATGACATATCAATTTTAGATTTTGTTTAGAAATAATTGAATTTTTTGTTTTCATACATTTTTCTAATTTATTTCGTTTCTCGAATTGTTTTTTAGCTTTTTGCATGCAAGTACACAGTTTTAATTTGGTCCAATTATAAATTTTTTTCTGCTTTGAATATTTTTCTGGATCTGGAGTACAAAATTCTAACTCTTTCACAGCGGAAATTAATCTTTTGGAATTATTTCTGCAATAAATATTTTCACAATCTTGACATAATACGTGATTTGATAGATTTATGCCTTTTAATATGTTTGCAAAATTAGAAAAATATTTCATACTTGAAAGTATATAATTTTGTAATATACAATTGCAACAAACAGTATTAGGGTTCCTTGATTTACAAAAAACGACTCTTGTACTTGCTTAGTTTTTCTTTTTGAATTGTATTAGTTTGCACAGCTTCATTTGCAACTCTTGTTGGATTAGTTTGAACTTCTTTTTTGTTATTTGTTTTAATTTTTAAATTATTTGAATGTATTTTTGAGGAAAATTGTTTTTCATCAATATTTATTTTAATATTTTTATTTTCATTACGTTTTGTTTGAATTTTTGAATTTTTTTTTTTATTTTTATTAGATATGATTTCTTGAGGTTTAAGAATAGTTTTATTAAATTTAGTATTTTCAATTTTTATTTTTTCTCTATGTTTTTTCTGATTAGATACTAATTTTGAATTCTTATCTAAGACTAACTGATTAGTATTTTTTTTTTCTTCTCTTTTAACTTCTTCTTCTATATTATTTTTTAATATTTTAAATTCTTTGTTTGAAATTGGCGGATTTGATTTATTTTGTTCTTCTTGAAGAGAATCTTTTTTATTGTCAATATGATCTTTATTAAACTGTTCATTGAGTTCTATTTCTGCTTCATCGTCTCCGTCATATATATTTGCCATTCGAGTAGAACAAATGTTTTTGGCGCGAGAATATTGTGTTCGTGGATATTTAATGCATTGAGTTGTTGTCAGAGCCTTACATTTCCATGGATCAGGAATTCCTTGTGTAAAATGTAAACCTGTATCAGTCCATATTTTATCAGTAGCAAAATATCTGACACAGGAAGATATTAAATTTTTTTGCAATATATATTTCTCTATTGTATTACAAAAACCTTTACATGCTAGATATTCTTTCCAAGTATCAGGTATACCTCGACGTATATTGCAATAATTTTTTTTTATCTTTCCATTTTGTTGTGGACAAGACGAAAACACTATAAATGGACGAGTTTTTAATAATTTTGGTGAAGAAAATGGTCCACGTACTATCTCTTGTATATCAAGATGTTTATCTTTTTGAAGTCTTTTTGAAGATATCCATTCTTGAGTCCAACCAGTATAGATATTAAAATTACTATCTGGACACATTAGCAATTCAAACTTTTCATTTTCATTCATTTAAAAATATTAACAATATTACGAAATCATAGTTATATTTTATGTTATAATTTATATAATTATAATTGTGATTATGGAATAGCTTTTTTGTAATATTCTTTAACTTTTTTATAAAATAAGAAAATAATGTAGTGTATATATATATACATACATACACACACACGCGCGTGCGCGCGCACATATATATAGTTATGGATAATTCATTATTTAAAACATTACTTCTAAAATTTCATTTAATATAGAATATAATATTGATTTCATATATAAACAAATTGCAATGATTTTTAATATTAAAATTAGCTAATTACAAATATTTATTATATAATGTTAACTTTATTATTATTATTATTAAAAAATAATTAATTGAAAAGAATAATCTGATTTTTTAATTTTATAAAAAAGTAATAACAAATCCTCTCATATTATTATTTATTCCCAGATTAAAGCAAGATTACCACTTTTGAATATTACCAACATTTAAATTATATACTTCAAGGCAATATCGATTGCTTAGTGAAGTGTTATGCATAAAGAAGAGATTGCTTCAAGTTACTCAATGTTAACTCAAAAATAAACACAATGTCTTTACTGCAATCATTGTCTTCAGGACTTAACAAAACTTCGAAATTAATATCTCGAAGTGTTCCAGCTGTATTTTATCATCCAAATGTAAGTGTTTATTATTTCATGTTGATAATTTTGACAAATATATTGCGTTATTTTAAACAATCAATATTGGATCTATTATTAGTATATATATATACATATATATACATAAAGTTTGACCTTAACATATAATCGTGATTGATTTTACTTTAAAAAATAAATTTTTCCAAATATAATAGTTAATATTTTATATTAGTTCTGTAAAAAGTTTTAGGTTATTATTATTGATGATATAACAAGATTATTATTATTTCACTATATTAATTAAAAATTGTTTACAAATCATTTTGAAATAAAATATGAAAGTTATTTCTTTTTTTTATATTATAATATTTAATTATTTTCTAGGTGATAGATCACTATGAAAATCCAAGAAATGTAGGTTCTTTGGATAAAAATGATTCCCAGGTTGGTACAGGTATCGTAGGAGCACCAGCCTGTGGAGATGTAATGAAACTTCAAGTTAAGATTAATGAGAAAGGAAAGATTATTGATGCTAAATTTAAAACTTTTGGTTGTGGTTCTGCTATTGCTTCAAGTTCCTTAGCCACAGAATGGGTTAAAGGAAAAACTGTAAGTAATATTATATGCTCATGAATTTTTTTTATATAGAACAAAAGAAAAGAATTACTATAATTTATTATAGATTGATGAAGCATTGGCTCTTAAGAATGGTGATATTGCTAAAGAGTTGTGTTTACCACCTGTCAAGTTACATTGTTCAAGTAAGTAATATTTATTATTATTTAAGTATCTTTTTCATAAGCTGTAAAATATGAATAGAAAAATTTTATAAAAATTTTTTTTAAGAATATAATATATAATAATTTATATCATATAATATAAATTTGAAAGTATTTAAGTACAAAAGTAGTTAAGTATTTAAAATTTAAAGTATTTATATTGAAGAAGAATTTATTACTCAATATTAACTATATATATTGAATATTGAATATATTTAATATTGATTAAAGATACACTATTTATTTTCTTTCTTTCATATATTATAGTGCTCGCAGAAGATGCAATTAAGGCTGCTTTGTCAGATTATAATATAAAACAGAAACAAAAATTGAAAAGTAATGATAATAATAAGAATAGAAATGAAACATGATTCTTCATGATATATTTCAACAAATGATAGTAAAAGATATTAGAATTATATATCTTATTTTTTGTTTTTTGTTCACTAATTTTTACATATAATAATATTCATAAATTATGTGTTGTGATTAGAATGAAAAAGTGTATATTAAATTATATATAAAATTTAATGTAGCACTTACATATATTCTTTCATTTTTCAAAAAAAGAAAATAAATATATTTAATTAAACAATTAAAGCTTTTTTCAATTAATAAGCTTAATTAATAAGTATCAATACTATTTTTAATCAAGTTATCATTTATTATCATAGTTAAGTTATTATATCATTTTTATTAAATTATTTCATGAAATATCAATTTCATCTTTGTATTAAATTTATAATTTTGTTCTAAAATAATTAATTTTTAAATTTCAAAAATTAAAGTTATGACAATTATAACATAATCAACGGGAAGCGTTTCAGATCACAGCCAAAATTTATTAAAATAGTATAAAACAATAAACAATAAAGCAATATGTCATTGTGATCAACATTTTTATTGACACAAATGTAAATTATAAATGAATTATTTTAATGGCAATTTAAGTTGTTGACAGAAACATTTCTATTTGTACTTGTTTTTATACGACTTTATTATGTCATCAACAACGATATAATAACGTAATCGATGAAGAAAGAAGCGGATAAGAATAGATATGTTTTATCAATTTCATTCTTATGTTTAATTTAATAAATATATGATAGACAAAGTTAAAAATTCAATCATTTCATGCAATATTATATGTGAAAAAAAATAAATATATTATTCAAATCATATTTTTTTAATGAATAAATTCATTAATTAAAATTTTTAATGATTCAATCCTGTTGAAGATATCCTATTAAAAATAATTTCATTTATACATAATATTAACATAGAACAAGAAATATAACATGAAAGCATTTAGATTTCCTCATAATCGTGATATCCGATTAAATATTTACTCACATTTCTGTATCTTTATTCATAGTGGAATTACATACTTTCATAGCGAATAATTTCCTAGAATAAGAGAGAATTTCGATTCAAACAATTAAAATGAATTTAAAAAGTTGAGTTGGATCGGTAACTTGTACATTCCTCATAACTATCATCAGAACGTCAATTGATGCTTAATAAGAATAAATATAAACTGAGTCATATGTAGTTAGTGCCAATTGTGCATTTCAAGTTAATTCGCAAAGAACAATTAGTTCGTTAATTCGTAATTACATTGCTTATACTTTTTCATAATTATTTAGGAGCTTTTTGATTAAGAAATTGCTTTTTGATTTTGAAAATTAAATATCTATCATTTTTTCTGTTATTTTACTAATTAATCGATCGATTTTATTACATTAAATAAAATCAATAATAAAAAATAATTGTAATTTATAATAATGCATTATATATGCATACATATTATAAAATATATAATTATATAATATAATGTAATTATACGTGTACATATAAGAAACATAATATATATTTTCGAGATGTTTCGACATGCTTATCAGAATTTTATAGATTTAATATAAATCTACGTTGTATGATGGATATATCAAAATATCAATATACATATACTATCTGGAATATTCTATGTATATAAAAATATGATAAAAATGAAGTGTGTACCTTTATGTACTTGAAAAAAATAGAGCATCCAGATTGATTAAAAAAAATTTTATTACATTATTTAGAAAAATTATTTTAAAAAAAAATTAATTTGATTCAATAATATTTACATATTTTTCTTCTCACATAAAAACATTATTTTTATTTTAAAAATAAATTAACTAATGAGAAATGTAATAATTAAAAATATTATTATATAAATTATAAATTTTTAAAATTAACATAAAAATATTTTAATGTTTTTAATATTTTAATTTTTCAAAGATTAATATAATTAGTGTTCATTGAGAGGATTATATTCGTGTTATCATAAATATTTCGATCTAATTCTTTGAACAATCATCATCAAATGTACGCACAATGGTTTCTCTAACAAACACATAATGCTACTAATTTGCGATATGACTGAAACGATAGAATCTTGCTTTTCTACGAAACCAAATAATGTCATTACAAGAAAAATGTACTATTCTCAACATTGTTTTAAATGCATTAGACAAATAATTTAAAAAAAATAATTTTATTAAAAAATTAAAAAATTATTATTTAGAAAAAAATTAAATTAACACGTTTATTATTATTATATTATTAATATAATATTATAAATTTACAATGTGTATTATATATTGTAAAAATATCGATAAATTAGTTCATTATTTTATGCAGAATATCATCAATTAATGATTTTTGAAAAGGTGAGTAAATTTGCTAATGAATTTAAAAATTTATTTTTCTGCGATTAATTAAAAGGTGAGATTGTAAATGATTTTTCATGATAGCGATTTGATACGAAAACTTCGAATCGATGTTTTAAGCTTGTTTTTCCTATCTCGATTTCACTATAAGTGGAACGCGGTCGCACGCGACAAACATTAAATTCACACGATGTTTGCATCACGAAGATAAAAAAATCCTTCATTTGATACATTCTGCGCGATTCTTGATTATGCTATTATACTACATCGTAAATTTTCCATTCTCTTATTTTTTATGATATATTCTCGGATCTGACTTATAGAAAGTATAACAGAGAAAGAAAGAAGTTTTCGATAGGAGAAAAGAAGAATAGTAAAAAAAAGTGAATCAGAAAGAAAAAAAATAGTATATCATTTAAAAAGAGTAGGAGAAGAATCGACTAATCATCGAAGGAAAGATTGAAATGGGAGGATATGAATGTGGTGGGAGAGAGGATGAAGTGGTGGTAGCCTGCGCTGCGTGAGACAGCGACACAGCTGATCACTCAGTCGTTCGTCGTTTCTGTAGCGGACGAGTTGTTTTAGTACGAATTCTGTGATGTAAAATTGAAACGAAGGAAATTTTTTCCATAGAATGACAGTGAATCATATATAAGAATTTTCATATACATGCCATTGTTTACGTGCTCTATGCAATTTGTTAAAGTATCGAAAGTAAAAGTTACGGGTGGAGCTATAACACCAGTGAAATTATTCACAATATCGACGCATTGCGGATCGCTATTAGTGACGTCGAATCACTTGAATCGTAGATATTTTTCTCTTTTTCGAAGAAAATTGTTCATACGATTGGGGTCTATGACCGCTTCACGAGGTTCATCTTATCAGAGATATAGAAAGAGCTATGATATAGGTGTGACTATCAACATCAGATTAAAATTGATGAAGTCCGAAGCAATCGAAGAAGAGGACACGACTGCTGATCCTGCAGTTTGTGAACATTGATGCTGATGCAACTATAGATCACAATATATTCCATTCGTGTAATCCAGTGCATTGCCAGCTTCATTATTTCCCTTTCACTTTCTTAGTTTCTATTTTTTTGTTATATTGTGGCATTTTAATTAGTATTCGTGTGCCGACACGCCGTAGTATACACAGTGGTTTAGATTTTTTTTTCAGTGATTCAGTTTCATTTCTTTGTTTAATTACAAAGATACATTATACATGTGTATATGCGCGCGTGCGCTAGTGTGAAAAGAAAAGAAAAGGTCGATGACAATGCAACGAGTCCAAGATCAAGACAATGGAATCAACATCAAATTCGGTGCAAACAAAAACAAGAAAGGAAACTATAGACTCGTATCGCAGCACTCCGAGAATGAAAAAAAAAATAATTTCAATGGGACCAATAAACAAGGTAAATTATTTATATTGTGAGTTATATTTTAATTTTTTTTTATTTTTTTAAAAAAATCACTAAAACTGGCCACTAATTTTAAATTAATATAAGACAGGGAAAATGTAATATAAATAGATCCACGATAATTTTCTAAAGCATTTTATATTATTTCTTTCTGTATTCTATTGTACAATAATCATAAAAACTTAAAATGTTTATGATAAATATTAATTATAAAGATATAGTAAAATAACATAAAGTCACTAATATTTCGCAATATCTTTTTTAATATCTTATTTTAAATTTAAAAAATATGATGAATATGATATTGAACTTATGATATTGAAAAAAAGTTTTTTGAATTAATGAAATTACAATATTTAATATTGATCAATTTTTTTATAAAATATACTAAAATAGTTAATGCAAATTTAATAAATCAATGAAATAGCATATAAAATAAAGCAATAAAATAGTATATATAATAGTATATTATAAATAACAATGAAAAATTATTATAATAGCTTATTTCTTTTTAGTTAAATGTATAACTGTTGAAGAAGATTTAGTCCCACCAGATGGAGGATGGGGATGGCTAATACTGTTAGCATCTGTTATGGTGAATCTACTTATTCCTGGAACAGTGAAATCTTTTGGAGTTTTATTTGTTGAATTTCTTGAAGTTTTTGATGCATCACCTGCTGCAGCTGCTTGGATTCCAGCTTTATGTTATTTTCTCTATAGTTCACTTGGTAAGATATTAAAATAAAACTATTTTTAAAAATTTTAAATGAAAAATAAAAAACTTAATTTTTTTATAGGTCCACTTTCCAGCATATTATCAGTTAAATATTCTTATCGAACAGTAACTTTATTAGGTGGTACATTTGCTGCTGCAGGAATGATGTTAAGTTATTTTGCAAATTCTGTAGCCTTTTTGTGTATTAGGTAATTATTAATACACTATTAATAATTAAAAATACAATAAATATATTATATTTTTAATATTCATGTGTAATTTAATTATTCGTTTAATTTTTTTTTAGTTATGGTGTCTTAGTAGGAACAGGAGCAGGCTTAGCTTTTCCTCCAACTGTATATATAGTAACTTCATACTTCGTAAGATTACGTGGACTTGCAAATGGACTTTGTATATCTGGCAGTGCATTAGGTTCAATATTTCTACCACCCATCTTAGGGATTCTTCTACGAGAATATGGTTACAGGTAGGTTTTTTTTATACTTATAAAAAAATAACAGGTATGGCTTTATTATTTTGATAAAAATTTATTTTATGATTGTCAAAAATTAAATCAAAGAATCTAGATAAAAGTAGATAATAAAATTAAAATTTGAATTTTTATTTTATTTTGATAAAACGTTTATTTAACAGTATTTAATTTATTAAATTTATTCAGCTATATCTAATTTATTAATAATATTTTGAAATTAATTGATTAAATAATATAATTAATTAAAATATATTTTACATACATTCGTTTTATTTTTGACAAAATTGAATGTACCTGTGATTTGTGAGCTTAATTTATCCAACTTATGTAATTTGTGACACAATCAGTATCACAAAAAAAAAATACGAGAAGTTTGTGTATTATTATGTGCATCTTCTTGTTCTTATGAAGATTCATACATAAAGTGTCATAGAAAGTTTTTATATATTTTGTGAAGATTATTATTGGTGAGTATTTATATATCATTATTAAAACTAATTAAATGTGATGATAATCGATCATGCATGTCAGACCAACCACGCGCGTGCATTTATGTATACTTCATTATTGTATCTCTGCGAAATTTACAATATCTATAGCTGTTTTTTCAAAGATATTGTTATTAAAGATAATGAGTATTAACTATTCGATACGGTAATGTACACATACGTATAAAAATAATTATTGACTGTCAAAAAAAATATTAGATTTCGCGGAAAGTTAACGTTTCTTTTAATTTTAAAAGGCGCAGAAATATTCTATATACTAACCCTGAAGCCTGCATGTGAAAATGGCACTTAACTCATCTGATATGGTTTAGGTAAGAATTTATTTCGTATTGTATATACGTTTTTGTTTTATGTTATATTCTTTAATGGTAAAATTATGTCTATTATGTTTTCTATCTTATTGCTATTAAATTTTTATTACGCGTAATTTTAACGCTTAATTTTGAATTAGACTCAACGACATTGAACTTCGATAGAAAAGGACGAAATAGTCTGGACCAGTATCATCAACCTATTATGACGATTTTTTTCCATGATGATAAAAATAAGATCCTTGATTGGATAATAATTAAATATCTAGGATGTGATCTTTAATGAAATGCGATTCGCTTTATATTTAATCATCAGTGCAAATGATACAGTCTCTTTATCAATTATTTCATTATCAATTATCTCTTTACAATTAAGTATTAGAATTAAAGTATCATCATTAGTATACAAAATGTAATTTGTCTTGTTTGAAATATATGTATATATACATATAAGAAAATAATATATTTTTTTTTATCTTTTTCAAAACGAATCGCTAGATTGAAAATAGAAGGAAGAAGGAAGAAATATCTATTAAACAACCGCGAATATAATTACACGTGCATGTCTTTCGTTGTATATGCATATGTAATAATCACGTCCGTGCGAGAACTGCGGAAACGTACGGTTTGACGTTGAAAGTGCTTGCACATTTTTAGTGTGCGCATTATAAATGGCAATCGCGTGATACTCACGTGTTTAGAGTTAATGAGTCATAAAAATGGAATTAAGATAACTTTCCTTTTTATGTATTTCATATTGTTATAGTAATTGTGATAGTATAGTAAAAAAATTTGTCAATTTTAAAGAAAGTATTTTTATCTTTTTTTAATATCATGCAATATTTTTATTCTATAATTAAATATAGCAAATTTATTTTCATTTTTATGTCGCTAATATATTATCAATTGAATGTGAACAATAAGTAATTATTTTTTTTATTGAAGTATATTTTTTATTGAAAAATCAAAGTATAAATTAACCAATGTATATTTTTCCGAATTTAGTATAAATTAAGTACAAATTAACTAATATAAGTCAATTCTAATATATATTTCGTGTTTTTTTATTTTTTATATCAGTATTTCTTATTTTTTTATAGTTTTATTTTGCAGCGATTCGAGACAGCACACGTTGTCGAAAATTCATATATTATGCTACAAGAACATTAATCGAATTGATTATGATTTAAATACATCTATTGAAATAAAAATTCTAATCTTTGACGAATGCAAATATGGAATATCATGAACTTCAAGATGTAATCATATTTTTTATATCTTATAAATGCTATTACATATATATATATACGTATATGCATATATAACATATAAGTATTTATAATAGATATAAGCTGGCCTAATTTCTATTAATCTAAATGTTCTTTTTATTTTTTTTTTGTTGCAGAAAAATGTTTTCCATGGAAGAAGAAAAGGACAAAATGCTATTTCGAAGAAGATGAATTTCTTTCATACAGAATACTGTATACGCAATCTGAAACACACATTAACAATATAAATTTCATTCTGATTTATTTTAAAAATGAGAAAAGAATATCAAATATTTTGCTTTTTTATAGTTTTTTTTTCTGTTTTGAAAAGATTGATGACTTATTGAAAAAATATTTTTTAAAGTAAAATGAAATGTTTGTTTAAATTATATATTTATTTTTTTATTACGTGTTAATTTAATTAATTTTATCTATGTTATTAATTTAATTTTCAGTAGATATAAAAAATTGTTTCAGATTGACGCATGAATTGTATATATTATAGTCAGTTCTAACTAAAAAAGAAGTATAGATTATGAAACATAATATATAAATTTTTAATTAAGAATGTTATTTAAAAAAGAACTTGACTAATAAATAAGCTTATATATTTTAAAATATATAACACTTTATCTCTGATATTCAATGATAATATACAAAATTTAATCTGGTATTAAAATTATATTAATAATTAATTAAAAGTTAAGATCTATTACATGTTATTGGTATCTATTGATTACCAAAGATTATAATAAGTGAATTTCTTAAGAAGATTAGCAAATTATATTTAGATATTGTATATACTTGATAATATTAATTTTTGTATTTTTTATAATTTATTTATATAATATAAAATAATATATTTTATTAATATAAATTAATTATAATTAAAAATTAAAATAATTAAAAACATGCAATAAATGTAATAATAAAGCGTTTTCAAAAACGCTTATATCTATAATATTTCGAATTATTCTTATTTCAGTGCATCATAAATCATTATATAGAAAAATCCTTTTTATTTTTTTATTTTTTATTTTTTAGAAAATATTCATAAAAAATTTTTAAACATTTCCTATTCCATTCCATACTTACATAATCATGATTAATTAAATTAACAATTAAATGTGATTATATTTTAATTATTGACTAACAATATAATTTAAGTTATATATCTATATTATCAAACAAATTTTAATTGGTTAATTATATTAAATATTAATATAAAAAATATATTTGGGAAATATTAATATAATTGATCTAATAACAAATCTAACGAATATATAATTGATCTAATGAAGTGACATTTTTTTCTCAACAGCCGTGGAATATTGCCTGATGACGATATTGTAAGCTATAGTTAATCTTATTGTTGGATCAAACAAAAAGCGCTAAAACTCATTTTACTTTTTTACAGAGGTGCGGTATTAATAATGGGTGCTGTCACTTTGAATGTATGGGCGAGTGCTCTTTTATACGAACCGGTGGAAAGACACATGGTACCAGCATCATCGTCGAACAAATCGAACAATGTCGACTTGGAAGCCGCTTCGGTCACAATAACTAGTCCCGAAGATGAGAAACAATCAAATCATGTTGTTTCTTCTTCGAACACAAATGAAAAAGCCGCGCCTATAGTACCAAAGAGCGCGTCCAGTGTTGCGTTAGAATATTACAAGAATACACCTGTTCAAGGTCGAACAAGAAAAATTAGTATGCCAATGGGACGAGAGATAACGGGTCAGATGCATAGTACACCGGCACTACATGCAGTTCCGGAACGTGCTGCAGATTCTGGCAAGCTATCGAAACGTCAGAAATCGCCCTTTCAATCACCCAGCATGTCATCTTTTAATTATATCAGCACACCGTATCATGGAAGTACACTTTCTGCTTTACATCCGGAACGGGCATCTACATTAACTTTAAACGCGATATCAAGCACATTCGCAAGGAAAGGTACTGAAGAAACGAACAAGAACGAAGTAAAAGAAAAGAAGAACAAATTCTTTGACTTTAGTTTATTGCGGGATCCTATTTATTTGGTAATTTTAATCTCAAATTCCACGAATGCCGTCAGTTATACAAACTTCGTCATTCTATTACCAGCATATGCGATCTCATTAGGTTTCGATAAAAATATGTCTTCCCTTCTTCTTTCAACTGTATCTGTATTAGATTTGATAGGGCGTATTGGAGGCTCTGCTCTTTCTGATGTCTCGATCATGCCAAAGCATTGGTATTTTGTTGGTGGTTTGTTCATTTCAGGAATCTCATTGGCCCTTCTTCCTATAGTTACAAGTTACACTTTATTATCAGTTTATTGTGGTATTTTTGGTTTAGCCTCTGGTATTTATGTCGGTATCACCGCAGTTATAATGGCAGATATGCTAGGAACCGAAAAATTAACTTCATCTTATGGTATTTCATTATTTGTAAATGGAATCATACAGCTAATTGGTCCTCCTATTTGCGGTATTATATATGAACAAATCGGCAGTTATGGCCCAATCTTTAGTATCTTAGGAATTGTTTTAGTGGTAGGTGCTTCATTATGGGGTTTTGTTCCATTTATTAGAAAACGACAAAAAATTATGGAGAAAGAGAATTCAATTGAAAAATTATAATTTATCTATTAGTTGAAATTGAACCTTTCAAGATAAACAAGAGCTTAACTATATGGTCATTATAAAATTTTTTCTAATGTGTATCGCGATTATGCATATACGTATATACACATATGATAACAAACATGTTATGAAATACTGTGATGTTAGAACAAATGTTATGTATGTACTTATAAACCACTGGCACTGTGATGACCTTATGTATATATATATATAATCTACACGCACATTTTCAAAAGAATTAATAAGAAAATAATTACTAAAAAGTATATTTTTAAAAACACAAAAGTACTCTTTTTTGGTAAATTGGAAGTATTTTGCCTTACACTTTGAAAAAAAATTTATTCTGTGAAAGTAAGTTCTTGTTAGTACTAAATAAAATTATATGAGTATATTTATCTAAGTACTTAGTTAAGAAATGTACTAATTACTGGTGCTATTGTAATTAAATAAAAAAAATGAAAGATGCAATAATATAATTTACATATAAAATGTTCTTAATATATGTACAATTGTAAAATACAAAAATTAAGTATTTGTACACATCTTTTATGAAAAGAATGAATACACAGTAATTCTTATTGTTATATACATATAAATATTAAAGATAGGATCAGTCAATTTTGTTATTAATTCGATTTGTTTACAATTCACTGGAAAATATGCCTTAAAATTAGGATATAAGCACTTTGTAATTAATAAATTACATTTATATTATACAATATATAAAATAAATAATAATATAAAATTTATATGTTTCACTTGAAATAATTTATAAAAAAATAATATATAAAGTCAAATTAAGATAAATAATTAAAAAAAATAAATTGTTCATTCTATTAGGATCAATAAACAAATTATAAAAAATTTCGTTTTTATATTTTATATTTATTTTCTTGAATACATAATAATATCACTAAATAAATATTAATGTAAATATTTTTTCAATTTATGTTTAATATACAGTGACAGTATAATTTAATTTTTATCTTTAGCTAAATTTTCTTATTTTCATCAGATGGAGGTATACTTCGAAAATTTGGGAATTGTTCCCATGGAGCAGATAATTCAAATTTACGAAATTCTTGTGCTAATTCTAATGGTTCACATACAACTCTCTTTAATTCATCATCATAGCGTACCTAATCATAATATATTTTTTATATTATATATATTTATATTATTAATTAAAAATATTGTATAATTAAAAAACATAAAAATTATAAAATTACCTCTACAAAACCACTGAGAGGAAAATCTTTTCTTAATGGATGTCCTTCAAAACCATAATCTGTAAGAATTCTACGAAGATCTGTATGTCCCATAAATAATATACCAAACATATCCCATATTTCTCGTTCATACCAATTAGCAGCATCAAAAATTGGTTCTGCTGATGGTATAGGTGTTAATTCATCTGTGTATGTTTTTACTCTAATACGTTTGTTAAAAGTTAGAGAAAGTAGATTATAGATAATCTAAAAATCAAAACATCATAGAACAATATTTATTATATAAAATTTTTCAAATAATAATTTACCTCAAATCTATATTGCCTTGAAGGAACATCCATTGCAGTCATATCTGATAATGAAGTATATTGAGTATTTTGATGTAATTTTAAAAACTTTAATGTTGGAATAATCCCTTCTGGACATACTAATATTTCAAGTTCGTCACCAGCAGCAATCTGAGTTTTTTGCACATATTTTGGTAAACATGTAGCAATATATAAACCCAAATCTTTTATAGTTTCCAGATCAGTTTGAATCTTACGTATTGTTGCTATTAAAAAAGCATAGTATAAATTATAGTGTATATATATATATATATATATATATAAGTATAAAGATTACTTTAAATATTAAAAGAGAATTATAATAAATATATTACAATTATTTATTAAAAATTAAATTACTAGATATATAATGAATTATAATCTTACATACGTCGCGTTTCTGTTTTTTCAGTTTCTGTAGTATTCATTCTTGTCAAAGGAACAAGTTTTGGATAACCTATTAATTCAGTTTATAATTTATTACATAATATAAAATATGAAAGATTAAAAAATTATTAAATAAACTTTTTACATTTTGGACTTGTAACAGGAAGATTTCTCATGAGTTTCCAATAATTTTTTAATAAAGATGACATTTTTGTGAAAAACTTCGATTCTCTTCAAACAGATTCACTCATTCCATATAGATATATAATATTAGGTTAGTATGTACATATATAACTATGTACTATTATACATTTTAAATACATATACGATACATTTTGCAATATATATTTATTTTAAATATTAATAAAAGGATGCTAGCATATTAAAATTATCTTTTTATTTTTATGTAAAAAATAATAATGTAAAGAATATAAATTTTTAATATGAAATATTATTTTTTTAAATTTATATTATAAATATAATATACATAATATATAAATAAAATTATAAATTTTTTAAAATTAAAAAATAAGAAAAAAATATATAATTTAATAATTTTATAATAATAATAATTTATAGTTATTAATTTATAATTAATAATAATAATAATTCTATTCTATACTTATTTATTAAAAAGAATAATTTTTATATTTTTTTTATATATATTTTATATTTTTTTAGTTATTTCTAATTCAATACTATATAAAATAAAAATAAAAAAAAGTAACAGTAATAAAATTTATATTACTATCAACTACAAATAATATTTTTTGCAGCACATTGTTTTTCAACTTTTTGCATTTCTACAAGTATAGTTGCTATAGCATGTCTTAATTGATGAAACTTTGGCAAAGATAATTCAAATATTTGACGCTTTCCATTATTAAATGTCCATTCCATAATAATATATGGTTCTAAGACTCTATTTAACACACTAAAAAGATTCAAACTAATAAGTATATAAATATTCTTAAATATTAATAAAAAATATTTTCCAAGTTACATTATATATTTATTACATTACAAATATCAAAATTTAATAAAAATATGAAATTACCTCGAAGAAATAGTAATATCTATGCGCCACTTACAAGATATTAAATGTGGATAAAATTTTGTTTTCTGTATTAATCCTGATATTAATTCTGACCGTTTTTGACCATATACAACTATAGAAAGATCATCAATACATTCTGGTGATAATCTGAGAAATAATATTATATATTTTTATTATAATAAAATTAAAAATAATGAAATAACATATAATATTTATAAAATACATACTTCAATTCTTCTAATATTTGTTTAAATTCTGTAAGTTTGACATTTTGTGATAATGTACCTAAATGAATCTTTAATATTGTAAAAATAATTGAATAATATTCATCTACAATTTCTTCTGATACATTATATTTTTGACTTATTCTATCTAATATGCCTTCTTCTATGTACTCTTGATTTATTGTTTTTACAGCTACTACAAATAATAAATTGCAATTATTTTTCAAAAGACAAAGTATTTAGAATATGATAATAAAGTATACATATGCATACAAAAACATTATTATAATATTAAACTAAACTTACTTTGAATTAAAGGTCGAACAAATACCTTTTTTAATTCTGAAAGAATTTTTGTTTTATTTCCTAAAGCATAAAAAAGTTGAGTTTGGAAAGTTGTCATTTTTTAATTCTGAAATTTTTTTCCTATAAAAAACAATGAATTGAAAAAATTAAATAAATTAATCTTTATTTTGAAATTTGAAAATAGTGATAATAAAATAATACTGTTCTATCTAAATTGATTGTTGTTTTGATTTGTTTTCAGTTAATGCCATCTTGTGGATCGAAAATACAATAAAAATATAAATATTTTTAAAAAATTTTGAAGATATCAAAACACATAAAATATGAATAATAAAAAAAATTTTATTATTATCAAATCATATTATAATGTAAAATAATAAATGATAAATTAGTATTTTATTATAAATATAAATATTTTTAGAGAAATATGTTTAGAAATCAAGAGATGGCATTAATTTTCAATTCTTACTTTATCTTACATTATCTTTGAAAAAATGCCTTAAGCATTCAAGAGATAGCACCAATAGTTATTTCTTATTCTATTTCTATTCTTTTCCTTTTTTACATTTGTTTTATCTATGACATTTTGAAAATAACGCTGATTTTATAATTTTTAACCTCTGTTCTTCTCCTATTATTTATTTAAATTTGAAATCAAATTCATATAATTTTGACTTTTAAATAACAAAATACAGAAATGATGAGCTAGAAGCCAGAAATGAATAAATTCTTTGAGAACTGTGACTATATGGATAAATAGTAGAAATGAGGTTTGTCAAAGAAGAATTATATAAATATTGCATTTTGTATTTTCATAATTAGCTGTAGATAAATTATGCGAGCAAATATTTTATTTTAAACATTTATTCTAATTTTTAACATTTTATTAAAATTGATAGTTTTAAAAATATAATTTATATATAGAATAGAATATTTAATTAATGTTTAATCCCATTTTATACATACCTCTCTTTTGCTTTCTGAATAGCAAATGATATATTTTTATTTAAATTAGTTGAATAATTATATTTAAATAATAAGACATCGATCTTTTAAATATCGATAATATAGTTTTCTAGACTTTAAGAAAACTAATTTTACAATAAAATTATTATCGGAATATATTAAGAAATAAAAAATATATTATTAGTTTTTAACTTCATTTATATTATGTTCATAAAAAAGATACATATTGTTAAATATTATAAAATAATAAATAATATAAAAATCTTTAATAAAAATTATTTCTATGATGTGGTACATCTGACCGTGTGGCCTAATGGATAAGGCGTCGGACTTCGGATCCGAAGATTGCAGGTTCGAGTCCTGTCACGGTCGTTATCAAATAATTTTTTTTTTAATCAAAATTTTTATATAAAAAATCAATGTATTATATTTATTAAAGTAATGTTTTTATTTATATATATATTATTGGTACACATATTCTAAAAAAATTAATTGAGCAACACTAATCAAAAAATTGTTTATTATTAGAAATGAGTTTATTTAATAAATAAATAATTATATCTTTTTATAAAATTAGAATCTAAATACAAAAAAAAATTAAAAATTCTAATCTTTCATTTAGATTTTAATATACTTTATATTATACTTATATTATACTTTATATTAATTTCTTTACAATTTATAATTATGTAGTTACAAAATTATTATTTTATTATTAATTAACAATAATAAGTAAAAGATAATATTTAGTTTTATTAAATCCTTATTATATCTTTATATAAATTTATAAAAAAAATGAAAAAATATTTCCTTCGAGCCGGATTTGAACCAGCGACCTATGGATATCTGAGATTTTTTAAAGAATCCAACTACAGTCCACCGCTCTACCAACTGAGCTATCGAAGGTTTTATGTTTGAAGATCGAAACTGAGAACAAAATAAGGTTAATTAGTATAAATACATAGATTTAAAGAGTAATTTAATTTACTTTTAAATTATTTACATATATTCTATATTTATAATTATATATTATTTCTAGTTCTACATTTATTTTTATTATTTTTAAATTTTACAGAATTAGATGTGGAATTTAATTTTATAAAACCAATTAGAAACTTAAAATATTTTAACTATTTTTAATAGAAATTATAAATAACTTAATGTAGAAAATAATAAGAAAAAAAGGTAATTTACAATATTTATAATATACATTTTTATCAAAAATTAATATTAAATTTATTTTTTATTTTTTATTAATCAAACTAGTTTAAGTTTTTTGATAACAAACATTTCGTAACGTGACCTCGAAACATTTGATTTGATAGAAAAAGAGATAGATAGAAGAGTCAATGTGACGCAAAAAATGAATGAAATGGTTTTCGCATGTCCTGACATTATTACGAATACAAAGGTTGAAGCTATTTTTTTATGAAAGTTATTGGAAACTTCATATTATTCAACATAATAATAAATATCATGAAATTTTAATAATTGTGTTAATAAAATCAATAAATTAGAAATTGTAGGTTATGTCATTTTTATAAAAAATCTTAAATTTTTATAAAAATAAATTTAACAAATTTTATTTTTACGAATATTTTATTTATTATAAAATATTTATTATTTTTAATATTATTTGATGTAAATCATAAATTTTAATATATTATTTAATCAAAATTTCTCGTTTTAAAAATCAATTATCTAAATTATCATGTTATATATACATTATTACTATATATATATTATTAAATATTTTTTTAATCTAAGAAGATTAAAATCTTTTTCGATTAAATAGTGTTCGATAAGTATAAATGAATATTAATTTAATTACTAGTAATTAGCAAATTGCTATTTACCTAACAAGCGATAATATATGATAATCTACTCGATATTGTTTTCATATTATTAAAAATAGTCATAAAATTAAAGTTATTGTAGCTAGATATTAATTTAATGCTAATTTAAAATTTTAATCAAAGTTTTTATTCAATTAAAAATATTTAATTCTAAATATTTTTTTAGAATAAATATCGATTTAATACCTATTTTTTAACGACAAAATTTTTTTGGGTGTGCCGTTTTTCTAATCAGTACATAGTGAATCTACCTTGACAAGACCACACCTAGTGGTCAGTTGTTTAAATGATTCTTTCTTTCGATTTTATTTCATTCATTCAAATAATATAGCATATTATCAAGAATGTTACATTTTAATCTTCAGCTTTTCAATGGTTTTTAATTTCTCTTATAAAAAAACTTATATATATATACTTTTATAAAATTTTCATTCATATAAAAGAATAAGAATTTTTTTTTATAAATAATTGAAATACGTTTTATAAAATATTTATTTTTGTTGATAAATATTTTATGAATGTAATATTTTTATTTTCTAAAATTTATATAATTTATTCTTTTGTATAATATTAATGAATAATTATTAGGAGCATTATAATATGGTGAAAGATATGTATAAAAATTAAAGACACTTGTTTAAGTACTGTTATAAGGAATTCTTAATCATAGAAAACTATAAGGAGAATGTATCAATAATATAGTAGACATCGTATTTCTTGGAAGTAAATATATATTTGTTATTGCTCCGATAAAAGCTGGAAATTCATTTAATATAATTGAGCGATATCAAAATTCAAGCGAGTTCAAAAGAAATTAGGAATATTGAAAAATTCCAAGATCTCTGTCTTTACAATTTATTTTTCAAAACAGGTGTTTTTAACATATAATAAAATTTTAATATTAGTCCTTAATAAGCTTATATAATTATATATTTTTATATAATTATTTTAATTGCAAATTTGCGAATCTAATTATAAATTCGAATTTACTTAAATATAATCGCATATATAAGTAATGTATATGAAAGTAACATATGGTATAAAACCGTGAGAACATGTGCTGAATACACATTTTTTCCTGCATTAAACAATAATTTTTATCGATATATCGATATTCTCTTTACCCTTTTTGTAACCATCAGCGCCATCTCGTTATTATATAAAAAGTTATAAATTCCTACATAAAAATTGTTCATATTTAAAAATTTATAATTGTATATAGAACAATTAATTTTAAATTTAGTATATATAAAATAATATAGTATATATATAAAAAATTAGTATATATAAACGAATATTAGATTATATAATAAAGATGTGTGTGATAAAAAAATATGAAATTAAAAATCATAAAAAATTGTATATCGTCATAATATTTTAAAATAAACTTAATTTTTTTTATTACTTATTTTACTAATTTGGATTTTCACATTATAAGCTTATATTTTAAAGATCGAATAGATATTATTTTTATTTAATATTATCTCTAAATATCTCATATATTTCTTTTGATAATAATAGTAAAAGAATAAAAGGCATGTCATCATCTATCAATTAATATCAATAAATAAATATATTGCATTATTTTAGAAGAAGATAAATAAATACATTCCAAATTCTTATTTCTAAATACTGAAAGTGAATAATGAAAAAATAAAAAAATTAAAAAGACAAGAAATATTAAAAAGATAGTTCTTATTTATGATGGCGGTCTCGAATTGCACGACTGCGTAGATTGAAGCAGAATTTGTAGACTAGCAGAGTTGAAGCAGAAAAAAAAAGAATAAAAATGATAAAGAGAGATAGTTTGCATGACGTGAAAAGATTAGAATAAAAATAAGAGAATAAAAAAGATACACTAAGCAAACAAATATAGATACATATAGAATAGAATATAGAAAAAAATAATATAAAAATAGGATATTTGATATGATAAAATATAATAGAAACAGAAAGTAATAAAATGAAATAGAAACAAAGATTCATTAAATAAATATGACATATAAATATGAATTGAATTTATTATAGAAAATAAAATATTATAAAATGAAAAGAATGCGATAAAATAAAAAAATAACAGAAAAAAGAGGAATAGAATGAACAATAACGGTGTAAGGAAAGAGGAAGATAGCGAATATAAAGCGTTACGAAGGGTGGCGGGGATGGAATGGAACAGGCGAGAAAGGTGGCGCTCTCGCGCAGTCTGGCGTCGTCGGCCGACAGGTGTGCATTGAGGGTGTGTTTAATCGTGACTTTCTTTTATTTCTTTATACTCTCAACAGTTTTAATCGTGACATCGTTTACTTTTGTGTCTCTCGCGAGACTCGTTTTTTGAGTGTGTCGCAAAGTTTATATCTGTAATACAATGATAGCAAGCGAAAACTAATTATGCCGGTCGATGAGATTTTGTAACTTCTATTCGTGGAAAATTTCAAATTCGATGGTCGCCAATTAATACGACGAGTAATAAGGTAACGTTTTAATGCAAAAAAATACAATTTTGAATCGTTCGATGTGGACTGCTGTCTAGGCCGGTAACGAATCGATTTTCATGAAGAGTGAAGCGGGAGCTGTGAGAGAGGGAGAGAAAGAGAGAAAGAGAGAACGAACGTGTGTTACGATCGAATGAGAGAGAAGATAGATAACAGGGATAGAATGAATATTTTTTCTTAATTTTTATTAATTCTTTTTTGTCCGTATTTGATTTATTATATTTTATATTATCTTCCTTTTAAATTAATATATATTTTTTTGGTATTTTCTATTCGTTCTTGTTATTTTATCTATTTTTTTTCATTCATTCCATTTAGTTGCATCTTACATTTTGTTCATATTCGTTCATACTCGCGAGTGTATTTCTGGTAACTGACCGTTTCAACATGTCTTGCAACCAGAGGAACATGAACTTTTCATCGAAACACGTTTCAGTATAGTATTATATCAATGACGTTATTATAAATTGATTCATCAGAAAAAAATTAGAAAATATAATTAGATTATAAATTTGTTTCTTATATAATTGAAAAATATATCTATCATAAATTTTATTTTTGATTCATAAAATATTGAGAATACGAAGTTTGAGTAATTCATACGAAAAATGAGACTTCATGGTAGATCAATTTCAGCCATTGTGCTTTATATATATTGCAAAGATAAATTTTCGTATTATTTTTCAGAATTAAGTCAATCTATAATTGATTTATAAATGAAAATTGACTTTTTGGATAAATATAATTTATTACAAAAAGAAAATAGTTTAATAAAATGCTATTTTAGAAAACGATCGAGGGCATTATTATTATGAGGATGACGTATAGCGACCTCTACGTACCAGTGTAAAAGTAATAATCGCTTTAAATGCGCCCTAAATGAATTAGAAACCATTGACCGTTTTGAACAAAGATGACGCGTCTCATCTAACGAGATACTTCGTGCATAAATGATATTGTGTATCGACATTATATGCGGATTATACGAACAATAATTGGACGGAATTTTCGTTCTAGTGAAGTTCCGCGTCTCTGACCCTCTTCCGCCCTCTGATTCTCCTCCGGTCGATAGACCCAACTTGACGTTTCCTCTCTCTCTC